AACGATGCCACCGACAGCAATTACAGACAAGGCCATCATCTTCAGCAGAGTGAAAACTGTCTGCACCCACGCAGCCATTTTGACGCTGCAGCCATTCAGAATCCCCAGGGACCAGAGAACGGCCAAGGCCAAGCATTTTTTCAGCACTTCTGGTGGAGGGCAAACGCCATAGAAGGGCTGGGTAGCATATTCAGCAAACAGCAAGGCTCGAGCAGCATTTGATGCTGGCTTGGTAAATGTTGAAGTCCAGATAAACACAAAGGCGGGGAGGGATCCAAGGCCTCTTTTAATATGGCTATATTCTCCTCCAGAGAAGGGCAGAGAGGTTCCCAGTTCTGCATAGCAGAGGGAACCCATCAGAGAAACCAGCCCAGATGCAGTCCAGATTATTAGTGCGATGCCAACGTTGAGTAAGGAATGCTTTAACACCCCTGTAGGAGACACAAAGATACCTGCCCCAACAATTGATCCTATAATAAAACTTACCCCATCAAAATAACCTATATTTCTTTTGAGTTGTATCTTGGCTTTTTCTTTTCTTTGCACATCTTTGGGATCATTGCTTCCTCCTTTTCCCATGTTTTTTTCTGTTTTTTCACAGCAGAATCCACTTTGCTGTTAGCAGTCTGTCATGACCTGCTAGGGAAATGTTATGGGAAGCTCAGCTTAATCATTCAGAAAAGAGAGTATACTTTGGGTTTTGATGTCTTCTGTGCGAGGATGATTAACCAAATACTTACAGAATCACTGGCAAATCATGTACATGTTGGTTTAATGTGTACTTCAGAAATTATTACGGTCTGCAGGTATTTTTAAAGAACACAGCATAACAAATAATGCACAGCAAATGCTCATTTCTCAGCTGTTTTTCATCAACAGATTTCCATTTCTGTTATGTATGTCTTCAGAGACAACTGTGAGAGGTGGGTAAATGTGACTTCTACATCAGACCTAGGGAAAGAGGTAGGATATGGCAGCATGAAGAAAGAAGTCAGCCCTCCTTATGTTATTGACATTGACATGGACATTAGTTGAATTGTCTGGCACTATTTTTCCACTGTCCATACATAAAACGGACAGTGATAACCAGTGATCACCAGTATGTTTTGCCGAAACCTCATCAGTCACTGAGTATACGGGAGCTTGTTTATACTTCACTCATTAAACACTGCATTAGAAAGAAAATTACCAGTTTATTCCTAGTTTTTTCTTGAGCACTCACCATTAATGTAGCACTCAAATATGTCCTAAGAAGGTATTAATCTTCAGACACTACTGTGAGGGGAAGAGGCTATGTCATCATTTTCACTGTCTGCAAAGAAAGATAAAGGAGTCATCATTCCCACCAGTTTAGCCTGTGTCTTTTAAGGTGCAGCCACTGATTTTTTTTTACATATTTAATGATCTGTGGTGTATTTTCCGTTCAAAACACAGAAAAGGAGCTTCTCTTTAATCAGATGTGGATATGCCATAAAATCTTGACTTTTGTACAAGAAAAAATGTATTTACTCTTTTTAAAATATGTAGAGTAAAATAGGAAGAAAGGAGGACTAACTGAAAGAAGTTCAGCATGGGCCTTAAGGGTTGTCTAAGTTCCCAAACTAGTAGCTGAAAAGTTTTTACTTTTTGTCAGTCAACTTGAGGAACCGGTTTTGTCCCGAAGGTCAAAGCTCAGCAATGCAGTGAACTGAACTCATGCTTTTACAGGGCCCAACTGTGAAAGACACAGTGGTTCAGATCAGTCCTGAAATACAGGATTTTCACCCAAGTACAAAATAAATTCATCTGAAAAGTTAAGTTTATGTAATATGCCATCATGCAAAAGACCTTTAGCTAAAATAGGCATGTGCAGAGACTGTTATCTTTTAATTTTTTCATTGACTTAGCTAAAGTGGATTTCCTTCACCACACAGAAGCTATGCAGCATAGCATAGTGAAAGAATCCACAGATCCAGAGCAGCTTTTAACCATAAGACAATTCTTCCATCTTCTCCAAATCGCTGTGAATCTCACTATACACGTTCACCTTCAAAAAAACAAGTCCTACAGACTTCTGTGAAAATGATTTTGCAGATGCTGGGGTCCATCAGTGCTGGTCACTTTTCAAACATTACCTCCTAAGGGCACAGGAGCAGGCAATTCCAAAATGTCAGAAGTCAAGCAGACAAGGCAGAAGGCTGGCTTGGCTGAGCAGGGATATTCTTTTGGAGGTAAGGTAAAAAAGAAGGTGTACGCCCAATGGAAGCAAGAGTAGGAAAGATAGGAGGAATAGAGAGATACTACTCATTGCTGTAGGCAGAAAATTCATGTAGCCAAAGCTAAATTGGATTTGAAGCTGAACAGTACTGTGGCAGACAATAAAAAGAGTTCTTTTAAATACATTAATGGCAAAAAAAAGGTACCAAAATGACATTGGGCCACTACAGGATGAGGATGGTCACCTCACAAACAGGGACATAGACAAGGCAGAGATGTTTAATGCTTCCTTTGCCTCTGTCTTCAACACAGATGACAGGTTGAAGTGCCCTGAGCTGCAGGACCATGCTGTGAGAATTACAAACTCCCAGTTGACCCTAAACTTGTGTGGAATTTGCTGCTCCAGCTGGATTCCTATAAGTCTATAGGGTCTCATGGGATTCATAAGAGAATACTCCAAGAACTGGCTGAAGTCATCCTTAAGGCCTCTCTCAATGATTTTTGAACAGTCTTGGGAATCTGGAGAGGTCCCAACTGACTGGAAGCTAGCAAACATTGTCCCAGTTTTCAAGATGGGCAAGAAGGATGACCTGGAAAACTACAGGCCTGTCAGTCTCACTTCAGTGACTGGGGAAGATTATCCTAGGAGGTATTGAAAAACACCTGAAGGACAGTGCAGTCATTGGTCACAGCCAGCACATGTTCATGAAGGGAAAGTCCTGCTTGTCAAACCTGATTCCCTTTTATGACAAGGTAATCCACCTAATAGATCAAGGGAAGCCAGCTAATGTAATGTTTTTAGATTTTAGAAAAGCTTTCAATACTTTCTCTCACAGGATCCTTCTGGACAAAATGTCCAGCACACAGATGGATAAACACATTGTGTGATGGATAAGCAACTGGCTTGTGGGTAGGGCACAAACAGTAATAGGGAACTGGGACATCAGGCTGACACCAGTCACCAGTGGGGTTCTGCATGGCTCCATCTGAGGCCCTGTGCTCTTCAACATCTTCATAAATTACTTGGATGCAGAAATCAAAGGGATACTGAGCAAGTTTGCTGATGATAGTAATTTGGGATAAGCTGTTGACTCCCTCAAAGGCAGGGAGGCCCTGTAGAGAGACCTTGACAAATGAGAAGACTGGGCAATCATCAACCATATGAAGTTTAACAAGGACAAGTGCTGGATTCTGCACCTGGGATAGCGCAACCCTGGTTGTGTGTATAGCCTGGGGAGCAAGAGGCTGGAGAACAGAACTGTGGAAAGGGACCTGGGGGTCCTCGTTGATGGCAAGTTGAGTATGAGTCATCAGTGCCCTGGCAGCCAGGAGGGCCAGTTGTGTCTTGGGGTGCATCAGGCCCATTGCCAGCTGGTAAAAGGAGGTGAGCAAGATTCCTCAGTTGTGGCCAACAGACCGTCCCAGCAGCACAACAGTGCTGGGATTTTCCTGAGAGGGTCATACCATGCACGAATACTGGGGTGGGAGCCACAGATTTCAGCACCCTGTGCAGGTGGGCCTGTAAGTACTGAACCAAAGCTCCAAGAGCTGCCATGGCTTCATTGCATTAGGAAATGCCTCTTTTACAGAGAGAAATCTGTGGCCCAGCTGAGGCCAGGCCAAGTCTGGTCTGCCTGAGACCAGCATCCAGAAGGGCCAACCATATCCTGAGGGGTATCAGGCAAAAGCATCACCAGCCAGTTGAGAGAGGTAATTGTCCTGCTCTGCTCTGCACTGGTGTGGCTTCACCTCGAATATTGTGTGCAGTTTTTGTAACTGCAATATAAGACATTAAGTTGTTAGAGAGTGTCCAAAGGAGGGTAAGGAAATGGTGAAGGGCCTTGAGGGGAAGTCGTATGAGGACCCGCTGAGGTCACTTGGTCTGTTCAGCCTGGAGGAGACGGAGGGGAAACTTCATTGCAACTCATTCATCTCATTGCAACTTCCTTGTGAGGGGAAGCAGAGAGGCAGGTGCCAATCCCTTCTCTCTGATAACCAGTAAGAGGACCCAAGGGAATAGCATGAAGCTGTGTCAGCTGTTTAGGATGGATATCAGGAAAAGGCTTTTCCCCCAGAAGGTGGCTGGGTACTGGAACAGGCTCTGCGAAGAAGTGGTCACAGCACCAAGCCTGCCTGAGTTCAAGAAGCATTTCAACAATACTCTCGGGAACATGATGTGACTCTTGGAAATGATCCTGTGCAGGGCTAAGAGTTGGACTTGATGGTCCTTGTGGGTTCCTTCCAAATCAGGATATTTTGTGCTTCTGTTAATCTCCTAATACTGTGTGAGCTCTAAAAAACTCCAAAGCTCCCAAACATCTCCACAAGAAGAATTCAAAGCAGTGCGGTCTATCAGCCCGGCCCCGTCGCGAGGCGATGCCAGGCGGCAGGAAGCGGCAGGAAGCGGCAGGAAGCGGCAGGAAGCGGCAGGAAGCGGCAGGAAGCGGCAGGAAGCGGCAGGAAGCGGCAGGAAGCGGCAGGAAGCGGCAGGAAGCGGCAGGAAGCGGCAGGAAGCGGCAGGAAGCGGCAGGAAGCGGCAGGAAGCGGCAGGAAGCGGCAGGAAGCGGCAGGGTCCGTGCCCACGCTACCTCGCGGGCTCGGCTGCTGCGCTGCGCGGGCTCCGGGAGCGGCGGGAGCGGGAAGGCGGCGGAGCCGTGAGGCGGTTGTGTCCCGGCCGTGAGGCGGGAGCGGGAAGGCGGCGGAGCCGTGAGGCGGTTGTGTCCCGGCCGTGAGGCGGGAGCGGGAAGGCGGCGGAGCCGTGAGGCGGTTGTGTCCCGGCCGTGAGGCGGGAGCGTGGCCGTGGAAGGCGAGGGAGGTCTGAAGCGAGGAGCGGACTGCGCGGGGCCCGGCGGGATGGCGGGAATTCCCGGCGAGCTCAGCCTCATGGATAGGGGCCTTAAGAGGTGAGTGAGAGACGGGCCGGAGGGTGAGGGGCGGCCCGGGAGCGGAGCTGCCCGGCTGACCGAGCCCCCTGTCCTCCGCAGCCTGCTGGATGTGCCCCTGAGCTCAGACCTGCACACGCTCAACGCCCACTGCAACCGCATCGCCAGGATCGAAGGGCTCGGCCACCTCCGCAACCTGCTGCATTTGGACCTGTCCTCGAACCAGATCCGCCGGATCGAGGGGCTCGGCTCCCTGGCGAACCTGCGCACCCTCAGCTTATCCTGTAACCTGATAACCAAAGTGGAGGGTCGGCAATGTTTATTTCTGTCTATTTAGAAACTCACGAAAGTTTTCTAAGAGTTGTCTTGAAGGTTGCTTCTGGAATGTTTGCATATAGTAAAGGTTATGCAAAGTTAGTATAGGCTACTAACTATATTATAATGTGAATTTTAAAATAAGCCTATATAGTCTTCATAAGCTTTATCGTAACAAAATGCCTTCATTTAAAAGGAAAACCTAATTATTATTGATATTATAGTTTAATATAGTCATAATATAATCATAGTAATAATAATTATGTCATAATTCATAGTTATGATCTTTTAAGGCTCACTTTGCAAGCTTGGCGTTATGAAAACTGCATTCTTCTCAAAATCTTACAGTTTCTATGTTTTCCTCATTTTGTTTAGGACTGGAAAAACTCTTTAATTTAACTGTGCTGAACTTGTCATATAATCGCATACACGATCTCTCTGGTAAGTGCCTTTGCCAAGTGCAGTGCAGTACAAAGCATTTGTCTCACTTTAATTTTGAAAAAGTTGACCAAGTGTATTTTGAGAAGTTTCCAGTACTTAAAGTGCTAATTCACCAAGTAATTCTAATAAAAGTTGCGATTACTGCTCCTCTCAGCTTTCAAGTTTCTAACACCACAGATTGTTTTAAGCTGGAATTTATTCTCCTGTGTTTGGTAAGGCCAAGCTTGTTCAGAAAGTAGCACAGTAAACATTTCAGACTTATTTCCAAAAATGCAACTTACAGAAGTTTCATCTATATCTCTTTGTTAAAATGGTCAGTTGTTGCTTGTGAGATTTTATGCTACAGGATCAAGAGAACTTGTAATGGAAATTGAAAAATAACATCGGTAACAATTGTTAATGGACTGAGCTATAAAATGAAACTTCAAGGAAAATGTTTATTTTTACATGCTTTTTAACAGCCAGAAACTAATGTGTTTCTTTACAGTTAGCTCTCATAACTAGCTTAATTGTTGTACTATGTGGTAGAGTGTCATGGCAAATTAACATATATAGACAAGGATATGGAACAAGTATTCTTTTCTGATTTCTAGTTATGATACATTATTTACCGAATATTTTTTGAACAAGCTGCCATTTGTTCTAAACCCCTTAGTCTAGGACCGCAGCAGAAAACATTATTTTGTTGTTTTTGGGTTTTTTCTCAAATTTCCAGGATTTCGATCCCTTCACGGAACCAGATATAAGATTAGCCATATTGAGCTTCACAGCAACTGTGTAAGCAATGTTATTCACTTACTTCAGTGCACAAAGGGGCTGCACTCTTTGACAAACCTCACGCTGGAAAAAAACGGAAAAGCCAATCCAGTTTGTCACATAGCAGGTAGGATCTCATGTTCGGTGGATACTTTGTGCTCATTAGGCCAGTCATTTCCTTTAAGCTGTGAGCCATGTTCTGAAGCTTGCAAATTCACTCATAAGCTGGTCAGCATGTGAAATATGAATTCGGTCAAAATTAATTCATTTTCCATGAAAAAAAATCATTTTCCTGCAGGCATATTCTTAAAATTGTAATGTTGTATGGTTAGATAAGGCTCAACATTTTCACTTGTGAATGCAGAGGAGTGCCACGAAGATTAGAGGGATGGAGCACCTCTCCTGTGAGGAAAGGCTGAGAGAACTGGGATTGTTCAGCCTGAAGAAGAGAAATTTTGGGGTGACGTAATTGTGGCTTTTGAGTACCTGAAGGGAGACAAGAAGAAAGATGGAGAGAGACTCTTTTCCATGTATTGACAGGACAAGGGGGAATGGCTTCAAACTGAGAGTTGGTTTAGATTAGATATTAAGAAGAAATTATGTACTGTGAAGGTAATGAGACACTGGAACATGTTGCTCAGAGAAGTTGTGGATGCTCTATCCCTGGAAGTGTGTTCAAGGCCAGGTTGGATGGGCTTGGAGCAACCTGTTTTAGTAGAAGGTGTCCCTGCCCCTGGCAGGGGGTGGGATAACTGGGTGATCTTTAAGGTCCTTTCCAACCCAAACCATTCTATGATTCTATGATATTATTTTAGGTTAAGGTGGGAAAGTGATGGAAACAGAAAATGTTGCAGAAATAGAAGGAAAGGAGTATTAATATTATAAGTGGGTAGGTGGGGAATTCAAAGAATGTACATTGAGATATTGAACTACATAGAAAGAGGGCAGGTATGGGAAGTAGAGTCTGCTACTGATAGAGACCACAATCAGTAGCACAATTAGCTTTTCCTTCTTTTCCCACAGCTTCAGTTAGTAGTGGCAGAGTCTAGAATACTCTACAGTAATTGGCATTTGTATTAAAATAGTAGGCAGGGGTTTCACTAGGCAGCATGGAGACAAGTTGGAGATTGCACGTGGATATATCACTTTCAGTTGGGTTGCTTAGAGCTTCTGCTTTGGGGATAGGTTTCTCCTGCCATTTAAATGTTACACCCTGTTTTCAAACAAGTTAAATTGTAGAATCGTATTTTGGTGTAGGGTTTTTTGTTTTCTTTCTCTGTGTGTATATGAGAGGGGAAAATCTTCAGAAAGCTAGAAGCAGAGGATTGATACTTCTGGGAGAGCTCAAAGATAATTTCATTACAAAGAATAGAACAGTAGGAATAATGCAATAATACAAAATAGCAACTATATAACGAGCATGTAACTGATACAGGTGTAATATATGTACAGTTAGAAACCTCAGAGGTACTAGAGGAAAGCCAAATTAAGTTTTAAGTAATATTTTTAAAAGCAAATGTTTTACAAATGCATTCAGGCACTATGGAAACAGTAACAGGACTATTAAAGTTGTCTGGATAACTTAGAAAATTCCACTAGTTTTCTTCAGCAAGCATTTACATACCTCTTTATGTGTCTTTGGTGACACTAACTTTCTAAACTGCACTGTTAAGAAGCCCAAATTCCATTAATTTAAAGAAAGTTAACTTCAGTGCTTTACAGTTTCATAATGCCTTACTTCATTCACTGACAAGTTATCTAAGCTATTTCAGAACTTGCCTTTCCATTACAATTGTCTATCCTTTCATTTGATACAAGTGTTTTTGTGCAGTATGATATTAAAAGGTTGTCTGTGCAACTGTAGTGTAGTGTGCTGTGTAGTGTGCTGTGTAGTTGGAAAATCCCGGTGTAGGTCAGGACCAGGCCTACAGCTTTCTATTTCATTTAGTTTGTAATGTTGTCTGTTGAATGCCATGGATGGGGAAAGATGAGACAATTGTAGATAACTCCCTACTTTTTTTCTTATATTAAAAATGCAGTGAATCCTTTAAGATTGTATACCTGAAATACACTAGACATCTTGGGAGATTGATTTCAGTTTACCTGTGGTTTTTTCCTCAAGGTTACAGAGAAACTGTTCTTCAGGCATTGCCACAGCTAACAGCTCTAGATGGAAGAGGAATTTCTGGTGAACCAGTGGACCTGGAAGAAAAAAACTGTTCAGATTTGCAGTGCTTAGAAGATGTTTTGAACTCTTTGGTTTCATCTGGGTGCCCCTCATCCAGAGATCAGGTGCCATAGTTTGTGTGTACTGATTTTAATAGTGATATGCTTTATTTTTATATTGCATGCAACTCATTAATGCTGCAAGGGTTGTCTTTCCTTCTGACAGAACAATGTTACCTTACCACTGGCAACACCTCATATCGACCAGGCACTGGCTCATTTTCATCAGCGTACAAGAATACCAGTCCAAGGTGCCACCAGCTCCTCCACAGAGCTCGTCTCATCTTCAGAACCAGAGAAGGCTGAACTTGATAAAATATACAGTGAGATGAGGATTAAAAGAATAGAAGATCTGATTTCACAGATACTGCAAAAGGTGATTTTTTTTTTCTGTTAAGTTTTGTTTGTAAACTGAGGTGTGCATTTCTGATAATGCAAAATTTTTCTGGAACAGACTGGAGCATTCTACTGGTGTGTATGGGCTAATGGTGCTAACGTGTTCTTAATAATTTTGAAAAGCTGGGAATAAAATAAAAACAAGTCTTTAAAACTGAAGATTGCACCTTGAATCCTGGCAACTTTCATACTGAATAAAAACCATAGTGTATGGGACTAGCAGAGCTATGTGATCATGTTATATTAGAAAACTTTTGTCCATTTTTTTTTACCCTGAAGCCATCAATATAGTAACTAAACCAAAATAAAACATGAAATGCACCAAAACACCTGTATTATACAGTTGGTGAAAATTAATTTCACCAATAGGTCATCTCAATCTGATATGTTTGTCAGGTAATATTGTTTTGTTAATATGTTTTGTTAGCATAGGTAACATACAAGTTTGTCAGGTTTAAGAGTTGGTGGTGTTTGCAAGGCTTTTTTGGTTTTAAGTGCTGTATTTGTTTTACATTTTGCACCAACCTTTTAGGCCTAAGGATTTTACCAAACTTCAGTTCAAATTTCAAAAAGATATAGCTATATGTTCTCAAGTACATTGGGTATATTTTTTCTTTAAAACAATGAGATATTTTAGCAAGGAGGGAAGGGATTGTAAAAGTAAAAAATTGGAAGCAGTTATTTACTTTTCTATCAAAATTATTTTGTGTGAACTTTTTTTAAAATGGCACCTGAATAAGTGTTAGAAATTAGCCAATTAGAAATTGTTAAATTTATAGATAAAATTTTGATCTCTTCTTAGGTATCTGATAGCTCAAGACAGGAAGCTCCTCCAAGTTGTCTCAAAGCTAAGAGAGACACAGATCCAACTTCTGAGAGCGAAAATGAGAGTGGGAAAGAGAACAACAGAAAGGTCTTGAAAAGAAGCAAGATCCCTCCTCAGCGGGGAACTACCTTATCTCCTAAGCGTCGTGAAAGTCATCTTAAGAACAAAATAACCAACAGGTATCCTGATGTTTGCCATATAAAGCCAAAATGAATTAAGCTGAATATTGTCAGAGTGAATGTAGTACTTGAAACATTTTTCTGGAAGTGGTAGGTTGGGTCAGTTAGCTCTTTTAATAATACTCTGAAAATGAGTAGCTTCTGAGGCTTCAGTCTGTCATTTCTCCATGAGAGCAGTTTCTGTCTTTAGGTGAGAAGAAAACTAAAGATTCTGAAAAAAACACTTTCAGAATTTAACAGCTTATTATTCCATCTTTGTTTTAAATTGTGGTGACAGAAAAATTCTCCACAGACAGAATTTTTTTTTATTAAAAAATAAAAGTAAAAGGTTTGTGGTGTCCGAACAATGGTAAAGAATTTAACTGTCCATATTTTGTGATGAAGCTGAGGATGCCATAGTGATTTGTTTGATTTATCAGGAGTGATGAGTAGAAGGTGATACAAATTGGTTATATTTGCTTAGTTAGCCACCGCAGCTCTACAGCTACTCTGCTTCTCCAGAATTGTTTCATATCTATGTGATCAAGAGGTGTCTTTCAGATAGCATAAACTAGTTACATATATCTTTTTATAGCTGACTATTTGAATTTAACTGTTTTTGCTGTGGTTTCCTTGCAAATTATTCTCTGTGTGGTTTTGAACTGTATTATTCAAATGTTGCACATAACTGTAAAATTTCATCCTATAAAAGTGTCTGAATCCCCTGTTACTGTTTAAACTCTTAAATATACCTTGATGTCCGGCTAATATAGGGAAGAGAAGAAGAGTTCCCCAAAGTGTCCACACAGCAGTCAGAGAGACTCTCATCTTAATTCATCATCAGACAATCAAGACTTGAAAGTTGTGGGAAGAAAAGCTGAAATACTAACTGGTAGACAGAGCAATACAGAAAAAGTAGAAGAAAGTCATTCAAATCCCACAGAGGAATCAACATACCAAGTAGGTTTTGCATCATTTCAAATTAAGTATGTCTTCACCTAAAGCCAAGCATATGTCTCCTGATCAAACTAAAATTGGAGGTGACAAAAACAATTGCATGTAGATAGTATCAAAAGTAGTGTTGTTCTTAGAGTGTCAACTGGGAGAGGATTTATTTTGTTTCACTTTTATGGGAGTTTTTGGCCTGGTCACTTGCCCTTTGCTCTGTCACTCATGAATTCCAGAAAGACTAAAAAGTCTTGTTCTACAGTTACAAATATTGTTTGTCATTTTTGGCTATGCTTGAATGTTTACTAATAATTTGGTGCTAATCTTGCTAAGGTGCTGATTCAAGAACTGGATCAGGAGAAAGAAAGGAGATGGAAAGCTGAGCAAGCAGAAAAGAAATTATTAGACCATGTCAAAGAGCTACAGAAGCATTCAAAAGAAGAAAAGAATATTCAGAGTATGGCTGTATACACTGCAGACAGGTAGGGAAACAGTGCTGTAATGTAAGAGTTTGTTTTGGGGTTTTTTGATTCATGAAAATTCAATTTGTAGGCTTAAGAAGTGAGACCAGCTTTGAACAATATACTTGGAAAATAACACATCAAGAAGTAGTGCTAGAATTTCTCTCAGTATTACCTAATGAAATTCCTTTCTGCAGTTTTCTTCCTGTTCTCATCTTAGAACAATATCAGTATGTGGCTTACCTCCATTTCCAGCCATTACTTTCCAAACAGTCTGTATCATGCTTTCACCTTCTGTTTCCTAGTCTCTCTTTCCACTTACACCTGCAGTGTTCTTTGTGTTTTTCCTGCTCAGTGCACTGGAATAAAGGTGTTTCTGGCCAGCCAGAGTTGGCCCATAGGCAATATGTTGCGTAGGGCAGGCCTAGCACATCTTTGGATAGTTGTCATCATTGGTTGTCATCATTCTTGTGTAAGTTCTAAGCAGCAGCTTTTTTTAAAAAAGATCTAACAAAGCATTGTTTGTCATCAGATATTTTTGGAGTTGCCAAAGATGCATTTTCTTTCTTGCAAGGAAGAAACAAGCCAGGTGCTTCCTGAGTTACCATCCCTGACTGACTGTGATTATTTCCCTTTTCTCCTTTTTGTTTTGGGTTCACTTCCCAGCTTTACTTGTATTAGAAGCTTATGTTTCTTTTCTGTTGAGATAGATCTTATATAAAAATAGCTAATATATTTAAGAATGTTTCAGAGTTTAGTGAAGATAATAAATTACAAATTGGTACTACGTGTTCAATTTGCATGCAAAGCAAAATGATATTGGAATGTCATTTCCTAAAAGATCTATTTGTGAGCTTGCCTCCAGCTCAGGCTTTTTAAAATGACGCTCCACAGTAATAGTTTATGTCTTTTTAAAGTGGTAATGACAGTGCTGTAAGTAGTAAAACTAAGTAAAGAACAAGATATGGTGCTACAACAGTTACTAATGGGTTTTTCTCAACGTATTTGACATCAAACTAAATACTAAGATGCTTTTAATACAACTTCATGGCATTTATTTTCAGGCTAAAGGAATTGATATTGAAAGAGAGAGATGACAAAGCAAGACTGCAAGCAGATGTCCAGCAGTTGAAAGGTGAAACCGAAAGACTTACTAATGAGTTAAATCAGGCAAGAAATAAAGAAGCAGAACATCAGAAGGCCATGCAAGCTTTAGAAGAAACACTATCCAAGATGGAGACACAGAGATTGCAGCAACGAGCAATAGAGGTAAATATTTTTCATGAGCAAATAATACATTGGCAATGGGGTGGCTGCTATAGTCCCGGATACAAAGCAACACTAGATTTCACAAGCTTTAAGTCTTGAGTTTTCCACAATAATAGTAGTTAATAACAGGTATCCATTTTAATTGTACATTAATGTATTTTATAAATGAAGTATGTCATGTGATGTGGTCTTAAGATAAAGGAAAACCAAGTACTATGTACTTAAACACTTAGAGTTGATATTTTCTGATAATATACAGTAACAAAGACAAGTTTTTTTAAAAATCAGTAAAGATCTACTAGTGGGACGGAAACCTGGTGGTTCTGCTTGTTTCGCTGATCTAAAGAATTAGATGCTTTTAATTTCAACCAGAACAAAACAGTAATTGCCGAGAACTTACTTTAAAGATTCTGGTTGTTTTGAGTGGGGTTGTTTTGTTTTGTTGGTTGGGATTTTTGGTGGATATTTTTACAGCTGGAGAAGATAATGATGCTTTTGTTATTGGAGGCACTTTTTTCAGTATACAAATGCATAAGATCAAGTTGCTGGACCAGATACTGCTACTATTTCTCTCTGAAAAGTCAATGGCTGAATTTTCAGTGTCCTCCAATTTGTTTGTTTATATTCCTATATTAGCCTATTCCTGCGTCACTGAACTTAAAGAAACTGAATCCTAACATACCCATCCGGAAAAGTCTCTCAGCTTCCACTGAAGTGCTGTAGGAGGTGGTGTTGCTCAGATACCCTGAAAGGAATGAGACTAGGGGCACTCCCTGACAGCAAACTGCAAGTGCTGTTCAAGTCACCCTCTAATTTAGGCTGCTCTTTGGGCACCTGAGTGGCTCTTCCATTTTCTTCCTTACCTGTAGATCCCCTGGAGCTATTATGGATCTAGAAGTGACCTTCAGTTTAGATTAGGTATCTGCCTGTCACCTTGAAAAGTACTAAATTTAGTGATTTAGAGAACAAGAAAAGGGGGGTTGGGGTCGATGGAGTTTTTTCCATCCTATAAGAATGGAAATACCTTATTGATGTATGAGGCTTTTATTCTTTTAATGAGTTTGTAGAAATATGTCATCTGTAGTAGCACTGTTTTTAATTACAAAACTTTATTAGGGCAAAGTCTTTGTTCCTGTCTTTAAGATCCTGGAGCAAATAATCTTCAATAATTAGGTTTCAAAGAATAATCATGATGCTCTAGAAACTAAGTTCTCCTTTTTAATGTTCATATTTAATATACTTTTGGCCTATTTTATCGACTCCAAGATTAACAAATTCTAGAATATTTAATAGAGCTTTCTCATAGTACACACTGGCAGTTAGCTTCAGTGGTAAATTACACTTTCTCCAGGCAGTCACTGTTTAAGGCCTTCAGTCAGCATTACTAGATGACTTCTTGAAGGGATTCAGGATAAGTCTACTATGCATCTAAATGCCTATTTTCTGCCTGTTTTCTGGCAGTCTTTAAATTTGCATCTACTCTTGCTTGACTTTTTTTAAGTGATTCAATTTAAGTGAGAATTGCTTCTCTGTATCCACAAAACAACAAGAATACAGTGGGTTGTGTCTAAATATTACTCAGGAAAAGGCTTGACATTTAGTACATGAGAACTTAGCCTTCTGAAGTGTCCTGATTTTGAATTACCATTTCATGTGTAATTAAAACCTTTTTTATAATTTTTCTTTTTCATATTCTTTTTTTCCCTCCTTACTGAATCAGGAAAGGGAGCTTTGTATATAAAAGGCTTAAGCTTATGAAATGTAATTACTCATAAAAGCTTGGATCAAATGGGAAAAGTGGAGTATGCCATCTGGAGTTTACACTGATTCTCCATTTTTTGTAAAATAATTAGGAAGCAGCTCTGTTCAGCAGCTCTAAAGTGTACAAATCAAAAAGAGGTTTTTATAAGTGGAATGTTAAAAACTGGTTATGTTGAATACATCTAAAAATGTTTTGTTTGAAACTAATAAACTCTCATATTGTAATAGTTTTATAATTGAGGAAATCATTGTGCCAATGCATTTCTTCCACTTCTGCAGGACACTCAAGTTCTTTATAAATTAGGTAAATGCCTTTGTTTCTTCATGAAAGTGGATTTTTTTGTGTTGTGGTAAGTTAAGCTAAGACTTAATTTTAAACATTTGTCTTAAATTTCTGCAAGTGAAATAGGATATATTAAGAAAAAAAAAAATAAAACCAAAACCAATAAGAAACAAACAACAAAACTCTTATAAAGCATCTGTTCCTTTGTATTCCAGGATAACACATGAAGACTGCAGTTTTAAAAAAAATCTTGTTCTTGTCTTTATGAATTCCACACAGATGAAGCAAGTGCAAGAAGCAGAGCTTAAAGCATCAGCAAATGAAAGAGAAGTACAGTTACTTCGAATATCCTTCCGACAACAGAAGGAGAAGGTAAAACAACTACATGAACTGCTTGTATTAAGAGAGCAAGAGCAAAGGTATGTCTTATTATGTGGCTGAACTCTTTATTTGAAATACTGGATCTGTAATCCAGGAAAAAAATCCGATAAAAATAAAATGGTATCTGAATTACTGTCTGAAGAGTTACATATACTACAATAAAACAAAGTATTCAAAAAAATAAGTCAGCTTCTGCAATATCCTGCTTGTGGGTGTAGGGGTGAGTTATTTCCTGTCTGATTTCCTCTTCAAAACTTTCCTTTTTTTGGAGAATACTTGAGTTTATGTTCTTTACTGTCATCTAATACAATCAAATATGTGTACAAACTAAAGCAGTAAGTACGCTGTGGTATAGTAATGTCAGAAAGGTTACTAATAAAATAAGCTGGTTAAATTTGCTAAATTTTACATGGGTACATGTGTTCAGATACCAAGAGAGCTGCAAGTGTAGATGGGAAGAATCTGATAGCTGTGTTTTGAGAACTTCCAGTAATTATCTCTTAAATCTCCAAAAGATGTAACGTGAAAGAAGTCTTTTTGCTTTAAAGCAGGTGAACAGAATAGTCTGAAAGTGCAGGGTACTTTTGCTTCAACATTCTCCTTTTAGATCCCTGTTGCTGCGGCTTTTCGGGTTCTGAGTCTTGAGTGAGAAGCAACAGTTGTTGGTTGGTTGAGGGTGAAAAGAATTACTGCAAAAGAGGGTTTGTCTGGCTGTACAGGGCTTTTCTCTGATTCCAGTGTCACTTGCAGATGTTTGTTGACAGCAAAGCTAATAAATGCTAACTAAAAGTGAAAGAGCAATTTAATCATTTCTACAAGAGTTTGAATTTAAAAATAAGGGTATTCCTTTGGATATTTTAACACCAGTCAACAGAATTTTCCTCATGGCAGTGTCATTGTCATAGAAGAATGAAATATGTCTGTGAGACTAAGGAATTTATCACATTTATTATGAAATTCATTATTCTTGTTCAGTAATACCAAGGAAATTAATTGAAACAGCAGTTTGTGTCTCACGTATATGTTTGGTAACTTCAGGAAAGAACTTGAAACCCGAGTGGCTTTAAATGGACCTGAATTTCAAGATGCTTTGTCAAAAGAAGTGGCAAAAGAGAAGCAGAGGCATGAACAGCGTGTTAAAGAATTGCAGGAGAAAATTAACACGTCCTACCAGAAGTACAGAGAGTTAGAAGATGAATTTCGTTTAGCTTTAACTGTTGAAGCAAAAAGGTTTAAAGAGGTAAGATTGAGAGAACATGTAATCTCACATTAGGTGGGGTTGTAGTTCTCTTTAAGTGTGTTGGGTTTTGGGAGATATTTTTGGGGGTGTTTCTGTTATTGGTGTTTTGTTTGTTGGTTGGGTTTTTTTTGATCCTTATGGTCAAGCATTCATGCAAAAATACTGGTAGTAGGCTTTGAAATATCAGTGATTAGAGAGCATCAACAGCAAATGCCAAGTCAGCACTCAAAAAACCCAGCATTTTTGTTCATAAGTAGAAGTTAATCAAATGAAAGTAAAGAAACCCACTTCTGTCTGGTGTTATTCATTTCTTTTAAAGTATGTTGACATTCTATTAGAATATATTCAATTATAGTAAAAATGCATGTGTTTTGATAAAGTTATAGTTGCAAATATACTAGTGTATTTAATAATGAAGTACCTTATTGTTTAACTTTTCAAAATTGAATTTTGGATATGCATTTTGAAACTCAGCTTTCAAAACTTGTTTACTAAACTCCTTAAAGAACTTATTTCTTCGGCTACTATTTACATTATTTTATTTTATTTTACATTATTTTATATTTTACCCTTCTGGTGGGGAAAAAAAAAGATTGAATTTACTTTAACTCCTTTCAAGATTTTAATGTCAATCTTAACAATGAAATTAAATCAAGGCACTGTTTTCAGTTACCAAGCTCTGCTTCCCATCCACCCATGCATTTTTTGTATTGTTTTTTGGGGAGTTGTTGGTTGGTTGGTTTGGCTTGGGTTTTGTGTTTGTTTGCTTTTTGTTGTTGGGTTTAGTTTGTGTTTGCTTTGTTTTGCTGGTTTGGTTTTTTTACAAATACGTAGCTGGGCAGAACAGTTTCAAGTTGAAGTATCACCAACAAACCAGTAAAAAAACCCCAGTTTCAGATATTCACTAATTTGATACACAGTTCATAAATTTCTGTTTCTTCACTTGGAATTTAGATGTCACTTATGTTTATGTATACACACTTTTTCCAAATGTTAGCATTTTTCAAGTCTTGTCTTACAAAACTTTAGGTAAAAGAGGGTTTTGAAAATGTTTCTGCTGATCTAGTTAAACACAAACGAACCCTGCTTGAGTCTGAAGAAAGGGAAAAAGATATGGCAAGTCTGATTCAAGACCTGACAAGTATGGTAGAAGAACAGAAAGCCAAGATTGCAGAATTAACAAAATCAAATGAAGAAGCTACAGCAAACCTAAAGGTACTTGTTTCAAAACACTTCAATTACTTTTTTTTTTTTAATGTTTCATCTATAAATTCCATGAAAGGTTGATTGACTGAAAGACATGTTTCCTGTCGCTCTAAAACCTAGTATTCCACATCAGCTGTTATTCTTGCATCTTGCACTTCTATTTCTCAACAAATGCTGCTCCCCATATGGAAAAGGACTAGCCAAGACTCATTTGTGTTTTCAAAAGTGAGCACTAGCAGTTTGTATATAATCAAGTTGTCAGTCAAAACTACAAAACCTGCATTAGTAACCCTGACCCCTTGTAAATTCAAAGGAATGGAATATGCTTCTGCATTGGTCACTGTACATGAAGTAAAAATTAAATTGAACAGATAATCCAGTGTAGTTATTAGTAGCTTAATATCTTCTAGTTGCATAACATTAGCAGTATTATTCATTATCTACTAATCGGCAAATGTTAGTGTTAAATCCTTTGGGCACAGTTGCTTTATGGTAACATATTCTAGTACTATTCTATTATCCATAAATTTTAAAAATCTCAGGAACATAATTTTTAAATGGAGGTATGATTCAGTCCATGTATGTATACAGTCCATCTATGTGCTAAAACTTGGGTGTAGTACAACCCCTGCACAGTTGTTTCTAGTCTTCTCCCTCCGTGTTGCTATTGGGATGTCCAAACAGTGTGTTGCTGTATAGAATAGGATTCTGCCAGTCAGTAATAATGCTAAGAACAAGATTGAAAAATACCTATATAAAATAGCTGTAATCTGTAAAACAAAAAGTAGACTGCATAATTAAGATAAGTTTTTATCATTGGAAGTGAAAGGTCATCCCAGTTCTGTCTGTTTCCTTCTGATTTAGTTTTTAATATCTTTGCTTTCCTTGTGCTTTTTTTTTTTACCTGTGAATTTGTGATTCTAAATAGTTTTTTTATAATGGCATTGATAATTTAGGGCAGTTACCTGGAAATCAGCTTTACAGTTTTCTGGGATTGAAGTATGTCTACTTGAAGCAAATTTACGTTTCATAACTGGAAAGAGATGCAGATAGAACCCTGAATGCAAGCAGAATATTTCTCAGTTAATTTGCTGTATATAAGTATTACTTTCGCAACCAGGAAATCAATTAGTATTGATTTGAGAATTTGAATACTTGTTTTAAAGGATCTTATTGTCTTTTTCCAATATCCATTCATACAGTGTCGAACTCGAGAACTTGAAACTGTGACTGAGGAGGGCAAACAGAAGGCCGTTCAAGTTGAACTTCTAAAAAAGGAAAATGGAAAACTTACTTCTCAGCTGACAGCCCAGGAATCTGTGATTGATGGGTTAAAAATGGAAAGAAAAATATGGGGGCAGGAGCTGGCACAACAGGGTAAAATAGTTTTGGGGTTGTTTTTTTTTTTCTTTTGCAGAAAAAATGGTGGTGCTCAATATCTTACCTCTCAAATAAACACTCCAGTAGAGTTGTAATCATGACAAGGTTTCTGGATGCCTTCCTGATCTTACCTAGTTGTAGAGTTGATGTGCAAAAACAGATGTTCTGTGGCACATGGGATCTGTAACAGCAGTTGTGGGAGTTGATTGCGATATAGCTTATCTATTTCCTGAAAACATCAAAATACCACAGTGTTATACAAAGAGCTTTTAAATATGAAATTAGGAAAACAAGGTTTTTTAGATAGACTTATATAATGCTACTTTTCTATCATATAAGTGGAATGTGAAAATTTCAGTATATATCTTAAGTATTAAATACGGGGGGGGGGGGAAGAAAAACCTGGGCATTTTTCATTTTTCCCTATTCAGTTGACTCAGCACCACCTTGTGGGCTCTTTTACATTGGCTGGATCTGTAAGAACTACTGCTGACTTTTTTCAGAGAAGTTTTCAAAGGATAAAATAGAGACCTTCAGTTCTACACTTGCTACCTAAGTGTTACCTACCTACAGATTAAATTCCTACAGTGTTTCCAATGCACAAAACAGTCAATGGTTTGGTTTGTGAGGTGGTTCTTACCTTTACCTCCACCCCATTTCCGAACATTCTACATCTTGAAGTCATCTGTAAAATGAGCGCTGCAGTGTGAATATCCTGTTTTGTCTAGGAGCTCATCTTGCTCAAGATCGGGGAAAACTGGAAGCTAAAATTGAAGTTCTAACAAATGAGATTGAGATGTTAAAAAAACAAAAGGAACAGGACAGTGATACCATAAGAATTAAAAACAAAATACTGGATGATCAGACAGAAACAATTAGGAGATTAAAAGAAGTAAGTGCCATATCTGACAATTTTTGTGCTTAACTCTCACTGCAAGTCTTAATTTTAGCTATTGTAAAGGCTGTAATGAAAGCTGGGTCTGCACTTGTTTACCAACTCACAAATCACAATCAGGCTGTCAGTGGCAATTCATTTCACTGAGAGCAGAAGAGAGCTTTTTACTAAATACATGTGCAGAGGTGCTACTTTGAATCTCTCACTGAACCATATTTATGTACAGACTTTATTCTTTTTGCCTTGCTTCAAGTTATTCTTAAAAATGATTTTGAGAGAGGTGAAACGCTGATAGCATCATTCTTCCTGAAAAAGGAAAAACAATTTTAAATGTTTGTTTCATGTTTATTTTACAACAATGTGTTTTTTTCTCTATTCTGTTCTTGTAAGTCAATATTTTTGCAGCAGAGGTACTATGTTTTGTTCTACTAATTCCATTCATTCATTAAGAGACTTAAAACTTTAGCTTATTAATCAAAATTTATACCATGTTATGTCTCTCAAAGTTCAGTTCATTACTCACTGTTACAAATTGTGAACTCAGTGACTATGTAGAATAGGTTGTTCAAAAGAATAAGTTGTTCATTCAACTTTATTCAGTAAGTTGTTTATTCTTGCATAGAATAAGAGTTCAAAATAACTTTTTCCTTAACTTGCTTTCAACTTCAGATTCGGTCTGGTGTGTTTTTTTGTTTTTTTTACTCTGACTTTTTTCAGATGAAGACTGACTAACTGGCTATCACTTTACTAAGTGGTTTTCACACATTCAGAAGAGTAAACTTTCACATGTCCTTCTCTGCTTTATTCCATCATAGACTAAACAAATACTTTATTGTTACAATAAAGTGTTTATGTGTTCTAAAATACTTATCTTCTAAAGGGCTTACAAGAAAAAAATAAGCAAATCAGAAAACACCATGAAGAAAATCGTGAAGCTCAGAAATTGTTTCAAGTAAAGTTGGATGAAAAAACTGCTGAATGTGAAAAACTGATGGAAAGATTGGAAAGACAAAATGAAAGAAAAGAGGAATTAAAGCAACTGCTAGAAGAAAAAGAACTAGAACTTGATGACATTAGGAATGCACACAGGTGATACAGACAAGTCAATAATTCTTTGGGATCATTGTATACAACACTGCTCTGAAGTTATTCTGTGTTCAGAGAGTACTTGCTTACTATTAAAACCCACAGAAATGAGGAAAAATGGAAGCATGGAAAAATTTTTTCTGCCCTCCTAAGAAGTGGTATTTATAGTCATTGTAAATATGTGCATTTTATTCTCAGCGCACTGAAAAAGAGGTGGCAAGGTAAAGGAGAGCTATTAAGCCAGCTGGAGGTGCAGGTTAAACAAATGAAGGAAAACTTTGATATCAAAGAGAAGAAACTGATTGAAGAGAGAAATAAGAGTCTTCAAACTCAAAGGTGAACACCTTAATAGTTTATATTGTGACTACTCAGTTACTGTAGAGCTTCACTGTTAATAAGTATACAAAAAGGTTTGATTATATGGCAAAAGAATGCGTAACACCTTTTAATTACTTTTGAGCCCAGTTACAAACTCTGCGTGCCTAAAAGGAATTCGCACTATACAGGTGATGTATTTCGTGGAACTGGCATTCAGTTAGAGCTTAAATTCAGAGTTTAAATTCGTCATTTAAACTTCTTAGCTCTGTTTCCATTTTCTTTGATAATGACTGGAGCCTACACTCGTTCCTCCCTAATATACCCATTCCACCACAATGCTTTTGATTTACCTTGTGAGTAAACTCCATGTCACTTACATAACAGAGACTCTTCTGCAGCAATCACACGTGCTGGCTGGAGTTGTACAGGGATGATGTTTGTGCATGTGAGGCACAGTCTGTATCAGGGTGTCTTTGAGCATGAGCCTGTCAACCCTCCAGCTCATGACCAGAACGCCTGGAACAAATCGATTGCAAATCAGAGATCAAGACAAGCAACTGTGGATGGTGTACAAGGGAGGCCACAGTGCTTTCACTAATGTCTCCGCAGGATAAAGTAAAGATACCTCATTCACTGTGTACGAAATAGAGGACAAATCCTCAGTACTTACCACAATAATATTAATAAATCATAGAATCATTTAGGATGGAAAAGATGTTTAGGATCCATCAAATCCAATCATTAAGCCAGCACTGCTAAGTCCACTACTGAACCATGTCCCTAACTGCCACATTTACAACTCCTCAAATAGTCAATAATACTGGGTTTTGGAATTGTTGGAAAATCAAAAGTGAAACTGACTTTTTTTTCCAAATAATTCTGGAGTTTTTCAAAAATTTGTTGTAAATTAATTATATAGTTGAATAATTTGCTTTGCTTTTTGTTCCTACATATTTTAGAGTTATGCCCTAAAAGCAGAACTTGCATAAGTCAAGAAAATGCTTCACTGCTGTGAAGCAGACACTTTTCTATTGCTGGGAGACAGGGTCAGAGGCCATTTACAGGATCACACAGTTCAATCATTCACTTCTTGGGAAGCAAAAGCATAAAAGTAGATATTTGAAAACGTGAAGTTCTTATCCATGGTGACAGTAGCAAGCCCGAATCTTCATATTCTTTCCTAGTGATTAAATGCTTCTGCTAAGAGGAATACCAGAAGCCCTGAACACAGTGCATAAAACCAGAACACGTATTTGAGAAAACAGAACATCTTCTAATGATATAGCTGTGCCTATGTTTTTAAAACCTTATCAAAGGCAGAATTGGACAAAACAAAATACTTCAGTTGTTTGCAGGAGCGTGATCTCTTTTTTAATCATTTTTAGGATTGCTGTGGAAAAGCTTCATGAAATGGATAATGCTTTTAGAAAAAAACTTGAGTCAATGCTGGTAGCACATCAGGAAGAACTGTTGCAGCTGGCAAATGAAAAGGAAAAACAAATTGAAGCAGCAAACGAAAAGGTAATTTTAATACTAAATGTATATGTTTATTGTATTTGCATTTTTATTCTACAGCCACTACAACAGTGGTGCTTGAAAGTGTCCTGTTTGTATCTATCAGTCTGATCTCTGAATGGAGACAGCCCTGATCTGGTGCTCAATATTTACACAGCAAGAAAATCTCTAGAACTGGTATTCCAGAAAAGTAAAGCTCCATGCTTTGTAGCTGTTAAAAATATAACATTTCCTTATCTATACAAGCAAGAGTAATGATGACTAAGCCAGATAATCCTTTTAACTCACCTATGCCAGTGTTAACAGTTACTGTTCCTGTCATATACTGCATTCTTCCTTGGCATGACAACTGGTGCTTTTTCCCCGTAATAAGTTTTCTGGTTTTCATGCATTACTTGCTATCTCCTAGCAGGTTAATACTTTTTTTAAAGCCAAATTCTGCTACTGCATCCAATGTCAAGAGTAGTGCATTGCATATTTAAACATAAGCATATAACTCTTGCACTGCTTATCAGTGTTAAAAATTGCCAAGATTTTATGGGGTTAGGTGTATTAAGAAAAGCAAGAATTTTTCTTTGATCTCTGTGTGCTCTTTCAGGTTTACTCTGTTGAAGAAGAAATGCGGGAGCTTCTGCAGGAAATGGCAAACAATAAAAAAGCCATGGAAAATAAAATACGACTACTTGCACATGCACTGAATGATATTCAACAAGATCTTTGAAGATTATTAATATTTACTCTAAAAATATGCATTACACAAGCTTAAGCAATTTCATACACTACAATGCACTTTTACTTGTTTTACTAAAGAATTAAGTCTTTGTTGTATATTTTGATGGTTCAGGGATCAGACACAAATGTCTTCATATTATATCCATAATAAATAGTTATTTCTGACCTATGGTTATCTTTAACTGCTGACAAAGTGGATCAAAGCAGGTATAGATGAAAAGCATCATATTAAATTAGGAATTTGCATGTTTAATAAGAGAAAAGAAAGTTATAAAGTTGTAAAGTTCTAAGCCAAGAGCTTGAAGTTTTGCTTCACTGGGGTAAAGAATCTTGTAATGAGAGATCCGAGAATGTTGAATCATAGAATGGCTGGGGTTGGAAAGGACCATCAAGATCATCTTGTTCCAACCCCCCTGCCATGAACAGGGAATCTTCCGCTAAATCAGGTTGCGTAGAGCTTCATCCAGCCTGGCCTGGAACACTTCCAGGGATGGGACATCTACAGTTTCTCCACAGGGGCAACCTGTTCTAATGCCTCACCACCCTCACAGTAAGGAATTTTTTCTAACACCTAATCTAAAACTACACTCAATTTAAAACCATTCCCCCATTTCTTGTCACTACATGAGAAATAGACTCCATCTTTCTTGTATCTGTAAACATGTTTAATCTGCCACTGCTAAAGAATGCAAAACTAATGCAACTTAGAGTGCCTCTTTTGGCAGCATAGTTTGGTTTTCTCCATATCAATAGGCTTCCCACCAGGCTTTTGGAAAATAGGAGATAATGACCTAACATCATCTTATGGAAGCAAATCGTAAGCCTTACGTTAATATATTGTTATACTTCCTTCATGATGGAGGCTTTACCATGACCACTGCAGTTAGGCATTTCTTAATTTGCTTGTTCTGCTCAGAAGATCCTAAACTATTACTGAACTACACTGTACTCAAAAGTATTTCATGCTGCACATAAAACAGCGAGTAGTAAAATCGGATACCTTTTGGCACACCAGGTGGAGCTGTTTCTGCCCACCTTGCACCTCACAGTAGCTGAAGCAGAGTCCTGTTGCTCCAACGATAGAAGCTACTAAGCCGACTTAAGCAGCTCGTTCAGAACCCCAGCATTAAAGCACTGACACGGTGTATCTGTATGTGCGTTTTTGTGCCCAGCAGCCCTGTAAAAGTACTTAGTGCTAGTAAAAGACCCTGGCCTTTGGCTGTGAGGCCCACTCGACTTGTTATCAGTGTGTTAACGAAAGCTTGTTGCATGAACCAGAGCTTGATATCAGCAGCCTCTTGTTATGAGGTGCAGCTTAAGTGTGGGATGTAACAAAGGCCTTGAAAATACGAGCCTAGGTTGAAAGCAGAGGCCACAGCAGCAAAAACAACTTGCTGATGGTCAGTGACTGGTCTTTGACAAAGCACAACCTTGAGAACTGGGAACAGACTACTTTTGTTTAAGAATGGAAGCAGCACCAAAGCAAAATAAAAGGCAGTCCAACAACTGAATGAGGTGCCTGCAACGGCCTGGGAAAACAACTCCCACTCCACAAGGGTGGAGGTGGGGGCTGGGAATTGTTTAGAGATCATAAAAGGATAAAATGCCAAATTTGTGGGAGGGGGCAGAAAGCAGACACTTGCTTCAGCTCTGGTTCCTTGGATCTGGAGTTCCCACACCTGACCCATGAGAACACCATGAACAAGCCATCAGCACTGAAGGGGAGGCATCTGCACTTTGGTACTCCCAGTTCAGGTGCGATAGAGCTGTTAAGGACTGTTTGCTTGCAATCTGTGCTATTGGTTGATAATGGTTGATATGTAAAAATTAATACGTAGTGGCAATGGTTAGCAAGGTGTAAGAACCAACTCTAATTAACCAATTGTGTTAATGTTAGTCTAGTAAATTTTGCTGTGAAGTTTAAAATTAGCCTAATTTATTCTTCTAGCAGAATTCTTGATCTGCTAGGTAATCTCTTGATTCCCTGACAGCAATATATCACTTCTCTAAAGGCAGAAGAAAATTATTTCTTATTCATTGCTCTACACACTTTTTCAGAATCCTCAGTATGTGAGGAAATACTCACTTGGAAAACTGTTCTATAGTATTTTCATGGGTATCACTGGTGCAGAAAAGTTGCACCACTTCAGAGTGCTTTCCTGTCATGTTTACTGAGTGTTCCTTGAGACCTTTTTTCTTTGCTTATTATTTGACCAAGCTACACTTTGGGTGAAGTAATTGAGTAACTGGAATGCACCATGAAGCTGAAAGAACTTACTCTTACCCTGATTCAGTGTACTAGTATCTCTTCTGAGTTTCTACTCCAAAATTTTTGTTCTGAAACTTATTTTCTGATTTCATCAGAGGGAGTTGTTACAATTTTTAGCATAAATTCTTTCTATTCCTTGCTCTTGGCTCAGAAATCTCATAGTGCAGTACTTGGGTAGGTGCCCGTGTTAGTACTGCTTGGAATGTTTGTTTTTCTTGGGGCTAACTCTGGCATCATTTCCCTCTTTATGCTTACATGGCTCCCTTAGAGCTTTATAATAAGCGTTTAAATGATTTCTACCTTCGAAAGGTTAAAATAATAAAAATGTGGTGCAGGTGAAAGCTGTGCCAAATTTACCTAATTATGAGGATGAATTTCAACCTGATGTTACTGTAAGGTATAAATTAATAAATAAAAAGGAAACTGACCTCGTCAGATGCAAAGTAAGCTCTTGTGCAATAATCATGACAGCTTAAAATTGACTCCATCATTAGATTTTGTTTTCATTTCCTGGCAAGATAATGGATCTGTTTTAATCAATATTGAGTATGTAATCTGTTAGGAAATTCCTGTTACTTGGTACTGTGATTCCAGTTCCAGAGAGCGTGTGTGACTGCGCACTCCTGTGCATACCCGTACTGCCCTGCACATGCTGTTACCTGGGCAGGTACAGGCCCAGTGTGACACAGCACCCCCGGTGTGATGGGCTCCACTGCCTCCTGTGATGGTACCTGGGGGTCTTCTCCCGGCAGCATTTCTTCCTTGGAGTGCATCCCTTGAATTCTTATGCAGTGTGGACTTTCACAGCTTCTCTACTTTTACCTACTTTTTTACTGAGGGAAAGATGTGTACCTGCAGGAAGGTTAAGGTCGAGCGTATTTAGACACGAGTGCAAGGGACTGGGTAAGCACCCGAAATTCCCTGTTCCTCTCGCCAGACCATCAGCGCATCCTGTGTCTTGGCCTCGGGAGATGTGAGTTTACAGTTAACCTAAGCGCTGTTACATCAAATGCAAGCGGTGAGACGAGTGACGCGGGGCTGTCGTGCCGGGGACAAGCAGGCGCATCTGGCACTCCGGGCGTGGGCCACCCGTCCTGGGGGAGCCCGAGGGAAAGCCGGCCAGGCCAGCGCCCTCCCATTGCGCGGGGCCCGGCCCTTGCCCCCCGCAGTCCAAACACGCCGCTGTCCCGGCAACGGCGGCGGCGTCACTTCCTGCGGGCCCGCCCCGCTGGGCCGCCGCGCTGGGCCGGCCGCGCCGCTCGGGCCGTTGCGGGCGCCGACACGTGTGCCGTGTGCCGTGCGCCGTGTGCCGTGGGCCGTGGGCCGTGCCGTGGGCCGTGGGCCGTGGGCCGTGCGCCGTGTGCCGTGGGCCGTGTGCCGTGGGCCTGTGCCGTGGGCCGTGTGCCCTGTGCCCTTTGCCCTGTGCCGTGGGCCGTGTCCCCGCGCGCGGCATGGCCGCGGCGGCCGAGCCGGCGGGCGGCGGCAGCAGCCGCCACGAGAAGAGCCTGGGGCTGCTGACCACCAAGTTCGTGTCGCTGCTGCAGGAGGCCAAGGACGGCGTGCTGGACCTCAAAGCGGTGCGAGGGCGGGGGGGACGCGCCCGCGGCACCGCCGGGCCAGGCCGGCTCCGGGGCCCCGCCGCGCCGGGCCGGGCCGCCCGCGCCCTCCACGCCGGGGCCTCCACCGGCCAGCGACGGGCTGAGGGATCGCGGGGGTGGCTGACAGCCCCCGCGGTCGGCTAAAATACGCGTTCCGGCTTTTTATTAGTAGGGTATAAAGGGTGCCGTGCCTTAAATATAACTTATTGAGGGTGTTTTTATTCACTGTGTCCAGTTCTCGGCTCCTCAGTACAAGAAAGAGAAGGAGCTACTGGAGAGGGTCCAGCGGAGGGCCACAAAGATGCTCAGGGTCTGGAACATCTCTGTTATCAGGAGAGACTGTGGGAGCTGGGTCTGTTTAGTCTGGAGAAGAGAAGACTTGAGAGCAAATTCATTAATGCATATAAATATTTTAAAGGCAGGGTGCCAAGAGGATGGTGTGAGACTCTTTACGATGGTGCTCAGAGACAGGACGAGGAGCAGTGACCATAAACTAAAACACAAGAAGCTTCACCTCAACACGAGAAAGAACTTCACACTGAAGGTGGCAGAGCACTGGAACAGGCTGCCCAGGGCGGTCGTGGAGTCTCCTTCTCTAGAGACATTCCAAACCCACCTGGATTTCTGTGTAACCTGCTCTAGGTGACCCTTGTTGGGGGTTTGGACTAGATGATCTCCAGAGGTCCCTTCCAACCCTAATGATTCTGTTTTTTTGTTGTCCTACATTGCTCTCTGCATTGACTCAGTGTACAGGTTGCTGTTTCTCGTCCGCCCCTCTTTATGTCCTCTTAGCAAGAGAAAACAATGTTGAAAACCAGACCATTCCCTTCTTACTACTTTTTACTATATGTGTATGAAAGATGCTGAATGGGCAGGGTGGGTGGCAAATCATCATCACGCCCCTCTGCAGCCAGCCCACCATCTCTGAGGCATGAGGGCATTGGGCTGCAGCGGCTGGAACATCTTCCCAGTGATGCCCTGGGACCAGCCTGCCTTGGCCAGGTCCTTGTGCTGGGAGGTCGCTGTGTTGCAGGAGAGATCCTTGGCATTGTGTCCTGCTTGCAGGTTCCCTGGAGCATTCTGCCATGCTGGCCCTCCGGGCTGTCAGGGTGTGCGGTGCACACGTTGTGTAAACCTGCCTGGTTAAGGTCGTCAGCAAACTGCTGAGGAGTTCAGCAAAGTGCAGGAAGAGGTTGTTTTGGTGCTTTGGTCACTTGAAGTGCTTTCTGGGAAACTGACCTATTTGTTAATTACTCTTAATGGGCCCTGGGAGGTGACTGATATTCTTGGAGTTTTTTTGTGCATCCATGTTCAGCACTTCAGTGATGATGCTGTGGCTGGTGAGACTTCAGGGTGAATAAGAAAGGACACTGATAGGTTTTATATTCTTCCTTTAGTTATGCTGTGGTCTGGACAAATTGATTAGCTCCTTAGTATTTAACTGCCTCTTTTTTAAGTAAAAAAAAAACTAAGCTGTCCCCATCTCAGGAATTGTCTTGCAACTTACTTTATTGTCTGTCATGTGCTGAGAGATGTTCCAGGTCAGTCTGAGAAGCAATACACACTCAGTTTGTAAGACATCAGACCAAAAAGCTTGGCCTTAAAGTGCAAAAAAGGATTGATCTGAACAATAAAGTTGGGCTATGTAGCGGGAAGGAATAGTATTTCTGGTTCTCTTTAGTGAGAAAGGTACCTACTTGGCGGGAATGGGTCAGTGGCACTGCAACCAGTCACAGGCATTTCTGCTCAAGAAATGGAGACTGGTTTCTGAATTTACTTTGTTGGAAGTAAATACAAACTGCAGTGCATAAACCATTGGTACTTTCATAAACACTGACTCAGAACACATATTTCTGTAAGCGGTTTTCTCATAAATAAGCTGCATATCTAAGGAAAAATGAAAAGCAGGAGGCATATGTGTGTTATGTTAGTGTGCTCAGGGAACTGAAGAACAACAGGCCAGTCTTGAAATGGAACAGAGTGATCCAAGAAATGATTTACGCAGTGAACACCCTCAGGTGTCTCCCTGCTAACAGGTACTGACCATCTGATGTGATGCTGGTTAGTATTTCTGTAGCAAAACCAGCACTAGAAAGAAAATGTAATTTGGCAACAAGTGTGCTTCCAGCTTTGTGCTTCCAGCAATTGAGAAGGAAAATCTATTTCTGGGACATTTTCTGGTGATCTTTGAATATATCTATAGTTACAGTTTACTGGTCTGGAAGAGGACACTTTGGAAATGTTTTAGTGCTGGACACTTCTCTGGTAACATCTGACAAATCGTGGGAGTGAAAGTGAGAATTTTCTTTACTTGAAGTTTGAATTTTACAGTGTTTACTTTAAAATCAACAGCTTTTCTAGAATAATGGTATAACTGTCGCTGAATAACCCTGTATAAAAAATCTAGTTATGGGATTAAACTTAAAACATTAAGGGATGAGATAGAAAGAAAAGAAAACAAAGTTCCTATCTGCAGAACCCATTAATTGCAGGGAGGAGAGGAAAAGAGAAAAATGAGTGAATAAGGGACAGACCACCTGAAATGAAGCCCAAAATATCATGTATTCTTTCAGTTCATAGCATACAATTGCTTCTGCCTTGATTTCTTAAATGGGCTTTGTTTCTAGCAGAATGCCATCCCTGCTATAGTGATAGTTAAGTAGCGTTCCTGATCATCAGTGCAAAAAGTCAGGTATTCTAAAATCTACTTGTTTTTAGGAGTGTATTGATCAGGTGTAAATAACAACTTCCTTATACTTGCCCTACTCCACAGAAGAAAAAAGAGCCTGTCCATTAGATTTTACATTCCCTTAGTCTTTATGCATGCAATGATATCTAGTACTTTTTACATGCAGGTTGACAAGAACACCATTCAATTTAAAACTCCCACCAAACTGTTGTCAGCCTTCTTGGGGAGAAAATGTCATCTGCTAGCAGCACAGTGCAGAAGATGCAGGACCTCTTTCCTTGGACACTTGGAGAGCAAGCAATCATTGCTTCCCTAGTGCTTTGTTAAGCTTCTCAGTAATCACTCTGCCTTGGTGCTTTATCAAATTCCTCCACTCTTCCGATAATAACACGGCGAATTTGCAGCTGATGATTCACGCAGCCTTTTGTCAGTTCCCAGAGAGCAAAGTTGTGTGAGGGCACAGACTCTCAATTGCCCTTTTTCTGGCTGGTTGTTTTATTTCTGGGCACAGTTTTGTGTGTCTCTGTGTGTGCCTGCAGTTGAAACTGTGCTGAGCAGCGTGTTTTCTGTATTCCAGGAGTTGCACAACCTGAATGCACACAGTACTGAAGTCCAGTGCTTATACATTTTTCTTCAAGCTCTGTGAGACATTCATATAGTGCCTGTGTTGAATACATACCTATTCAAAGTATGAGGAGATACTAGGAGAAATTACTAGAGTTCAGCAGCTTTACATTAAGAAGATTTTATGAAGGAACGAATGTGGAAGCTAAATCCAGCCATGTTAGCAGGGCTGTTGTAGATGTCTCTGTCATACATAGGTTGAGAAATGATAAGTTTTAACAGTGTTTTTGACAACAAGAGATTTGTCTCTTAATTATTGAAGTCACTAGTGTGTGGTTTGTGTGAAAGACTGAACTGAATTTGTGACCCATGTACCTACCAGAAGGTGTTGCACTGATAACTGCTAGAATGTCAGAGAGGAACTTTACAAATTTTTTTAATCAGCCCATTAAATTTTTAGAAGATCATTAGATTACAAGACCAGCACCAGAAAGGTAGTGAATGGCTGGATTAAACTTCCCAGCTTGGGAACTGGCCCCAACTTCTTTGTTGGAATGGTTGTTGTAAGTAGTTGAACTTTGTAGCAGTGATTGAATTATATACAGGGCAGGTCACACTAAATACATGTGTAACTGTCTCCTTCATTTTCTTATGAAATGAATCCCTGTCCTGGGGTTCTGGAGCTTGGTTTGCAGCAGTGATAAATTTCTGCTGCTAGTGTTAATGGAGCTGTGCTTTGGGCATACAAAATGCAATAGTATTTAGAGTAGAACAGTTACTCCGACTTTGCAACATCTGGAATTGGGTATTTAAAATCAGTGACTTTTATTTGAAGTCTTAAGCTTTGGTATCATAGCTACAAATTTATGTACATTGGTATTTTTTACTACCAGCGCATCTTGAAAATACATTAAGGTTAGTAAAGCATTTACATTTTGTAGACAGGCCTTTGACAAAATTTCAAGAGGCAATTAAATCTGTCTGCAGAGCAGTTTTTTCATTGTTCAAACTAGGAGCAGTAGACTTAAGTTCTCAGTCAATATGTAGAGCAATGGGAAGAGAGCAGAAAGTTGAATAGCAGCTGTTCAAGTGTGTGTTGTCCATTTATTGCACTGAATAATGTAAACAACTTATAAAAATTGTGCTCTGAAGACTGTGAGGTGTAGGAGGTGCTGATTAAACATCGTGCAGGTGGCATCAGTTTTGTGACTCTGGATTCTTAAGGTTCTCTTGCAGTCCTTGGAAGCAGTGTGTATGCAGCAAAAATTAGCAGGTTAAGGTAGCAGGTGCATACTGCTGGTACAAGTGATTGAGGAGCCCGTTTCCTTGGAGAGAACTGAACTGTGCACTTTTTATGTATTCGCATGTATTTTGTTAGATTAGAAAAGATTTTAACAGACTGTTGCAGCAGACCCTATGAAAGATGAATGTTACTAAGGATATCAGTAGAAACACTGTTTAGTGGGCACATCACTGCCAAGGAGAAGGAGCAGTGTTTATATTTCATGGCTATAAGAGTATTTTTTTAAATCTCCATTCTTTCATTTTGTCCTTTCAATTTTACTTAAGTAGAAAAATGCAAATGGATTTGTGGATTTGTCTCTCAAACATACATGCTTACGAAAACCATTAATTTAATAGATTGCTGAAAAAACTGAAATAAATCATTATGTTCCTATAGTGAAAAATAGTTTATCTTATGCATTAGTTCTAATTTGGGATTCAGAAGTCTTTGCCACCTATCCTTCTCTTTATTATTCCTCTACTTTGTTTTAAATACATATAATCCCTTGTAGTCGTTGTATTTAAGTGTCCTGAGTAGCTACGAAGTCAGACTACTCTTTGCTTTCTCTTTTAGCTAATGTTCTTTGAACTTGAGCTGCTTTTCAGCATCAAAGACCTGAGGGTGTGAAAGGCTAAAGTTTCCTTATTTTATCTTAACTCTTTACATCAGATACGTTAAAGGCACCATGGAGAGAGATAAGGCATGAAGCAGAGTTTCCTCTGCTTTGCTCTGAGAGGTGAGCTGTGACAGCCCTCAGACGCACTGTACAGATAGCTGAGTGTCAGTGGGACATCCCTGTGAGCTGTGCCTGTGGATATGCTCGTGGTGCTCAGGGTGACGCTGCGTGAGTGGGCCCTTGTACACTGTGAGGTGGATTCGTGCAGGACAATGATGGCCTGAAGTACTGCAGCTCTCCTTTGGCCACTTTGTGAAATTACAGCTCTGTTGATTTGTATCCCAGCACCACTGAAGCCAAACAAAAGCTTCAGTACTTTGTGTCAGCAAAAGGGATGATAAACTTAGCATGTGCTTGGCTTCAGAGGCTTGCCCCTATGCAGGGTGTTGCTGTCTGCCTTCCCTACTTTTTCCTACCTTCCAGAAAGAGCACTGCAAGCTCCTCCATGCAGTTGAACAGCGCATGCTCCAGATACTGAACACGGTCTTGGCAACCCATGTGAACATCCCCTCCTGTCCAGGGATGGCCTGCTGGCCTTCAGCAAGGTGACTCCTCCATGTGGTTTGCAAGCACTACCTGCAGGGGCTGACCTTTAAAATTAGCGATGAAATATGTGGCTCCTGAAGCGTGGAACCTTCTCCCTTCAGAATGACATTACGTGACATTTTTCCAAGGGATTGGCTTAACTGTCTTTTCCTGCAGCATGCAAGTTGCTGATACTTGTTGTTCTCTTGACAGGCTGCTGATACGCTTGCTGTGAGGCAGAAGAGAAGGATCTATGATATCACCAATGTTTTGGAGGGGATTGATCTCATAGAGAAGAAGTCAAAAAACAGCATTCAGTGGAAGTAAGCCATGTCAATTCTGCAAAATTTTCACATGCTTTGGAGCAACAAAAATTGCCTCTTTCCACTTCTGACTAGATATGATACCACAAATGCTCATTTCCTTCATATTGAGTATTAGCAGATTTAAAAAAAATATTGAAAATAGTCTTAAGAAACACTGTGTGTTTGCTTTAGATTTTCACTTGTGGTTTCATGAACCCTTTTACCTTTTTAAGAGGAGTAGGTGCTGGCTGCAATACAAAAGAAGTCATAGACAGGCTGAGGTATCTGGAAGCTGAAATTGAAGATCTAGAGCTAAAAGAGAAAGAATTGGATCAGCAGAAACTGTGGCTTCAGCAAAGTATCAAGAACGTCATGGATGATTCTACAAACCACCAATATCCTTTTAAATTAATTGTGTGCCTCTTGGAAATAGAATCAAAGCAACAGTTAAGGTGTAGGTAATGGATAAAGCAGAATTTAGTCCCTTTTATCCAGAAGCAGGGTAAGGCAAATATTTTTTGAAGTTTTTCTCAGAGAAAGAAGATATAAATTTTATTTACATGGCTTTTTAACTTCTGTGACTGTGATTGGTAACGTGAAAATAAGTTAGCATATATATATGTATGGCAGTAATTTTTAAGTCTATAGTATAATCCTGGTGTCTTACTTTAAATGAATTATATTTCCCCCATTCATTTAAGAATTGGACCCAGTGATCCTTGAGAGTCCCTTCCAACTCAGAATATTCTGTGGTAGTCTATACTGCTTTCCAGCACTTGATTTTATACCTTGTTACCACTGCTTTACATGAATCTGTTTTGCATTGCTTTGTTCTCCTGCAAAGATTAAGCTATCACCCAAAGATAAACTGAGTTGGCAATGTCCTGAAACTTGGGCTTGACACTGGAATAAAAAAAATCCTTGTTTAAATAACCCATGAGCAGAGAGTTCCAGCTGCATTGCTCATAAGCATGTGCTTAGGTATCTTGCAAGATACTGAGCAAAACAGACACCTGAGACTGGGAGCAGGAAAGTGCCCTTCTTATCTATAGCACCAGTGATAAGTACTTAAACATTACTGGAGTTGCTATATGGAAACTGGTTGTGTAAAATGGATTTTGTAGTAAAGGAGATTGAGGTTAGATGTTAGGAGAAACTTTCCTTTGGGAGAGCTAGCACTGGAATTGACCTCCCAGGGAGGTGGTGAATTACCCATCACTGGAGGTTTTCCACAAGAGGGGAGGCAGACATCTGTCTGGAATGTCTGAACAGTGGATTCTACCTTGAGGCAGAGGAATGGGATGGGAGATGAAATCTGAAGTTCCCTCTAGCACTCATTTTATGTGATTATGGGAAGTCGTGATACATACTTGAATTCTGTAGTGTCAGTGAGATAAATGGTATTCTTCAAAACAAGATTTTACATGTTTTCCCTGTTAGGATCTCTTCTCAAGCAAGCTACACAACTTTCTTTTCTTGTTGTATTTTCTTTGCAAGTACAGGTTTTTTCTTTAAAACTCTTCTATTTTTAACTATCCATTCTGAAAGACAAAAATTATGCTTTGATTACATCTCTGAGTAACAATAGTAACTTTATAGTTTAGACTCAGTTTGGACAAACTACTTCTAAAGGGCAACACATACCAGTTTTATGTTAAGAAAAATGTTCCTTGACATACATTACATTTTCATATGTCACCCATGAAGATATCTGCAACTGCTTCAATGGTAAGTGGCTGCTGCTAGGCTGTATTTCTAAAGCAAGGGATTTCCTGATCTTGCTCTTGAAAAATGACTTGCTTTTCCTTGCAAGTATTTTGAATTTAGAAGTACTCAGTAGTGATGTCTTATAATGTTTATGACTACCAAGTTCCAGCATTTTCTAGCTGTAGTTACAGATTGTACAGAATGGAAGCTCAGCTGGAGTTCTGGTTTTGGATGCCTTTTTTGGTACTCATACTTTGCAGCAGCTTGCCTCAGGCCATTAATGGAACCAGAGACAGGACATGTGGGTCCAACCCACCAAATGAACCTGGCAGATCCAAATTTCATATAGTTTTTCTGGTGGCAGTTGTGGTCAGAGTTCCTGATGATGCTGTATAAATAGAGCCAGACAAAGTTAAATGATGGGGCTGCTAAATCAAAAGGATTCCTGTACAGGTTTGAAGAAACTGCCAAGAATTGCTGGCAGAAGTTACTACCCTTGACATCCTTTCCCAATCCCAGGGCACCCAAGGGAAGATTGTTGTTCAGCCTCCAGCTAGATTTGGAACCATCTCTTCTTTGCCACAAGAAAGATTGTTTTTAATAAAAATGCAAGATTAGAAAATTACTGCAGAGTTTAACAAAAATGAGCTGTGACCAAAAAGAATTAGCCATTACAAAACATGGAGGCACCTGGCATGGCACTCAGATGGTACTTCACCTAAGTGTCTTTTAGGAGGCAGAGAAAGAAAAGTGTTACTCCGAATCAGTTATGGACAAAGGGGAAACGCAAGTGACCTGCAGTGTTGTGCCAGTGTTGTGGAAGTAATTGTGATCCCCTGACTTTAACCAACACATTTCAGTGTGCATAGTAAGCCACAGGTGAGTTTGACAGCCAGCTCTTAACGTCCCAGTTGTATGTGCTGTGGAAGCCATGAGCTTAGATACTTGGAAGTGCTGGCTCTGAGGATGATCATTAATACCTTTTCTTCTGTTAAATCTTTGCAGTACCACCATTTGTCAAAGTCATAAAGTGAGCTAGACCACAGAACTGATTTAGCTGAAGTAAGTCATATGAAGAGCAGCTGAGGGAGCTGGGCTTTAGCCTGGAGAAAAGGAGGCTCAGGGGAGACCTTATCACTCCATACAACTACCTGAAAGAGGGGGTCGGCCTTTTCTCCAGGCAGCAAGAGATAGGATGAGAGGACATAGCCTCAAGCTGTTTTAGGGGAGGTTCAGGTTGGACATAAGGAAGAATGTCCTCATAGTAAGGTTGTTAAGCATTGGAATAGACTACCCAGGGATGGTGGAGTCACCATCCCTGGAAGTGTTCAAAAAATGACTGGACACGGCACTTTGTCTAGTTGATAAGAGGGTGATCAGTCACAGGTTGGAGTTGATCTTGGAGGTCTTTTCCAACCTAAATGATTCTTTGATTCTGTGAAAAAATTAATTAAATCTTTTCACCTTATGTTACATATAAAACTAGAAGGCAAACAGGTAAAGGAAATGGTAAATCTTGTACTACTGTGAGGAGAGGTTCTTGCAACTATGGCCTAAGTATTGGAATTCCGTGATTTATATGATGCAATATACTTGGATCTTACAGGTACTATGCAAGTCTTACCACAAGTTTATATATGCTGAATTATGGAGTATTTTAAGTGGTCTTAGAGTATTGCTGTATCTCATTTGAGTGGGTACCATGCAAGAGTTAAGAAAACTATGCACACTTTACACTTTTTTAAAAATTGCTTTTTAACCAGGAGATACACTCCTAGCAATTCAAGCACCTTGTGGTACACAGTTAGAAGTACCTACACCCGAAATGGTATGTACTGGTTTCTTGTATACCTAAGTGTTCTAGGTGAATAGTGGAAAAGAAGAGCTATCTTAGAGTGGAGGATTTATCTCTGTCCATGTGCAAGAGGAGAGGGCAAATGATTAGGATTGTTTCAGTTGAGAAGGGGGAGGCCGGATGGGAAAAAGTGGGTTTTGTACACCTATATGGTAACTGTCTTCTATTAAAACCAAGATACATTAGTGGGGTTTTTTACCATTTCTTCTTCTTTTTTTTTAAATGTTGCAACTTTCCATATTGTGCATAATTGTAATGAATTCCCTTGAGAATTCATTGATAGAGGCTTTTATCTGTCAAGTTTCTCCATTACACTATTAAAAAGGATCCTTTACAAAAAAGCCTTTTAGATTTAGTCTCATGGTAGTAGATTGGATAGAGAAACAGACTGCAGTCTCACTTTAACCAAAAGGCTGAAATGGGTAAGATTAAAGTAGGAGGCCAAATTATTTACCTCTGTCCATTTTTATTTTTTTTTTGTTGTTGCAGTGCTCGGTTTAAATAGTGTTTACATAGTTGGGAGAGAGTATTGTATGAAGCATGATAGCCAGCCACTGTGCTTGTAGAAGGCTGAAATTCACCTGAGAAGTTTCACAAGCTATTTTTAGTGAGGCTAAGCACAGTCTAATATCGTAAAAGCATCCAAAGCTAGAGCCATGAAGCTGATCAGTGGTACTATCTTTGTCCGTCTCTGCCGAAATCAGTTCAGGCAATGGTAAGGTTCTCTGCAGGACCAAAGTTAGAAGATGTGATGTTGGGCTTTTTTTTTTTTTTTGTCGAGGACCAAAACAGCTGAACTTAGTCTTCATCACCTTGTACAGTGCTGAGTTCTCAAGGAACAGTAACTTTCATAATACACCACCTTTACAGGGACAGAATGGACAGAAGAAATACCAGATCAATCTTAAAAGTAGTTCAGGACCTATCCATGTGCTGCTTATAAATAAAGAATCAAGCTCCTCCAAGCCCACGGTGTTTCCGGTTCCTCCGCCCGATGACCTTGCACAGCCCCCGTCTCAACCTGCAGCTCCAGCGACTCCACTTAAACCCACTACAGCTCCCTCAAATCCATCAGAACACGACCTGAACCAAGGACAAGAGTTACCACAGACACCAGCTGCGGACACACCATCAGGTGGATCCAGGGGTTTTCCTACCTCCAACAGGGGCAAGGGGGGGTAAGAAGGCAGCTAGAGGGAAAGAAGAAACTGTTAGGAAAGGTGGTAGACAAAGGAAAGCTCAAGAATTTGCACAGCATACCAGCTGTCTGTTGACAGACTTTTCCAAGGGCTTACTAACAGCTCTGAGGAGGTTACAGAGACACCTCTTCTCTGTCCAGTGAAACAGATTCTTCCCTCATAGCTTATCGTCTTAGACTGAACAGGTTTTGGATGTAATCCTGTTAAATTATTCTGAGGTGCTTCTCCAGAATGCAGTATGGAGCAAAATTGGAAACCTATAATGGAGGATATTATTTGAAACATGTACCTTTTAATGAGACTGAGAATACAGGCATCAGTTCCAGCTTTTGTGCCACAACGGCACTTACCTTCCTCCACACAAAGAGAGAGACTGCCTGAATATGAGATTTTTTTTTCATAGTATGGTAGTTGGAAAAGATGTAAGAAAACACTGTAGGTATTAGAACTGCATTTCTAAAGGGTCCTGACTAACCTTTATTTATTAACCATTAATTAACAACTAATTAAATTGTGCCTATGACTATGGAAGGGGGAGACTCCTCTTACCTGATCCCAGACACTGGCCATGTTCTCAAAAGACAAAACTGGGTGCAGGTGCTTTGTGTTCCTTGTCTCCGTAACACGCCTTTGTGTCCGTAGATGGCAGCGTGCAGCGGGACAGCGCAGCCCCCGCAGCCCCCTACTCCAGTCTTCCGGAGCTGGCGCTGTACCCTGGCCTTCCAGGAGATGGTGCCCAAGCCTCAACCATCTCCAGTGACTACCAGGGCTTGCTGCCTCTGGATGTCAACTGTATTCTCAAGCCAAACTCATTTGACATTTCAAAGATGGAGGAGCCCACAGGTAGGGAGCAGTAGTTCCTATTTGAATGTTTATACTGGTTTCCTGAGCCCTTTTTTGTGACCAAGTTACCAACGAATTACAAAGGAAATGACAGGCCTCTGTTTATTTCCTAGAGAAGCCACTGAGCCAGCTCTCAGTAGCAAACTCATTCTGAGCAAATGAGTTTCTCTGCCACCAAATAAGCTTCATGTTGTGTATGGCTCTAGGGTTATATGAGATCAATGGAAGAAATGTAGTGGAGGGGAGGATCTGAGGAATACGAAGATAAATATATTTTACATGTACATGGCATGCTATCTCTGCAGCTCCTACACTGCATGAGCCACACTGTTCTTTGCAGTTCAGTATTTTAATGCAGATAATATGTGTTGACTTCTATAAACACGTATTAAAAAACCCCACATATTACAAAACGTGCTCCTGTCTTTCACAGGAAATATCAGTGGGGATATTATTGATGAACTCATGTCTTCTGACGGTAAGTATTTAGCATTTTTTCTAATAATCACAAGTAGTAGCATGGGGTTTGTGTGAACAGCACTTAGGAGGCATCTGTTAAATCTGATGACAAGAGTCATAGAATCATAGAATCAGATGGGTTGGAAAAGGACCTCTGAGATCATCAAGTCTAACCCTTGATTCACTACCACCACAGTTACTAGACTATGGCACTAAGTGCCACATCCAGTCTCTTCTTAAAATACCTCCAGGGACGGAGAATCCACCACCTCCCTGGGCAGCCCATTCCAATGCCTGATTAGTGACTGAGTCAGTATGAAACTACTTCTCTCCTCTGTATTGCCTTGTCTGTCATTCTTGTCTTTGCTCCCCTTTCTATTCCCTGCAACAGTTTAACCATCAAAATATGAAAACCTTAATTCAACAAGCACTTACATGCATGAATAACCCACCAGTCCTTAATTCAGGGACAAAGAAAGAACAGGCTGATGACTGGAGTGCTGCCTTAAAAAAAAAAACCACTTTAAAAAAATCTGGTTTAATTCTGTTCTGCCTCAGGCTTCCTGCAGGTGCTTTAAATAAATATTTCAGAACATAGTTACATGCCTGTGTGCAAACTGATACATGGCCAGTTGTGGTACAAACGTTACCTTTTTGCTGTTGCACCTCAGTGGCCATAAGAGTGCAGCACTGAACCACAGCTGTTAAGTTCATGTGCTCCTGCCTCTCTGGTCTCTCTGAAGTGCCAAGAAAAGAGGTGAGCTCAGCTGGTGGTGTTCCATTTGCCCTGTGCTCTGTAAGCAGCCTGTGCTAATACCTGCCCTCCGAGCAGACAACCTCGGGCTCCTGCAGAAAGAGATGTGTAATTATAAGATATGAGGTACAAGATGGGATTCTGTGAATGTGCCAATATATGGTGAAAATGGAAAACAGTCTCCGCTTCTAGGGCAGGTACAGCATGCCCAGCTCATCTGCACTATGTTAGAGTTCCTGTGGTGCCGCACGAGGACTGAGGCTTCTCTTCTTGCATTCCCCCCACAAAGACAGCTTCAAGTCCATGCTTGAAATGCAGTGCACAAACTGCTAGCCTTCATTTCCCCTCTGTAAAATAGGGATAACAGTAACCTCCTTATCCTATTTGAAGGCAGATATATGCAATATTGTAACAAGAAAAAGGAATATAAATATAAATTATGGCTTTCTCATGAAAGTTTTCAAAAGCTGCTCAGGACCTCCTTTGCTGCAGGAGAAATTAAACCCATGTTCCACAGCTGTTGCTCCATTCCAGCAAACTCAGTTAAAATACCAAGCAAAAAATGGCAGACAGGTCACTTACTGCCTTAGTTTGAATGCACTACAGATATTCATGGTATGTATCCTAGCGTGCTTTTCAGATTATCAAGACTATTTTAATTATTAAGACTAACCTTGATACTGGTGATGACAAACATACTGAATTATGAGATAGGGCTGATATTCCAGAAGTGTTTTAATTTAAACTAAACTATTCCTGCTTTACAGTTTTTCCTCTCTTACGACTCTCTCCTACTCCCGGAGATGACTACAACTTTAACCTGGATGATAATGAAGGAGTCTGTGATCTCTTTGATGTGCAGATACTAAATTATTAGATATTGTGTCAACCAGACTACTTATCTACCTCTAACTATAACATTCTAGACTTCTTCATAACCTAAGTATTTGAATAATGAATGTATAACTTCTTAGTTCACTGACTCTGGGAGTATATTTCCTTTTGCTTCCTTTAACTACTTCACAAAACAAATTCAAGAACAAGAGAAAAGGGCTTTTATCAAAAATTCTGGCACTTTTTCACCCAAGTGTTCTCTGTGTAATCCAATTATTTGGAGCTTTCTTTAGTAAAAAAAGCAGAAATACTTTATAGCCTTTGATCATTTTCTAAAAAATGATTAGGCTTCCTGCTCACAGTTAACAACGTTTTCTTTGAAGCTTTACTGCCAAGAAGCTTTCTATATTCTTTTTTAACCTTTCAAACAATTTGAAGCTTTCACTGCCAAGTTGAAAACTGAAGGGTATCAACTTGAGTTATGCTAAATTGTTTCAGTGAACCAATTTTGTGAAGTGCCTTCTGTTTTAGCACTTTAAGTTTCTCACACTGACTTCTGACATTCCACTTTCCTAGATGATAGGAAAGGTCTGTTTGTAGTTTGTATTAAAGTGTGCCAATACTTGTATATTAACAAGATTTTTTTTAATAAAATTCTTCAAACAAACCCATCAGTATTTGTGATCTTTCATTTCTTACAATCCCTTCATTGTCCATTTTGCATTACAACTGAGATAATAGGTTTGTAGCAGCATCCACATTTGCTGGTTCCTCTTGCAGATTTGTGGAAACCTGAAAAACAAAGTTTCAGTTTAAAGTAGAAAGCAATTTCTTTTTACTCTACTTGAAAAAAAACCATTGTCTAATCTAAAAGATTAGTTTATCTTTTATATCTTTAACTTGGGCTAATTTTGCAGTCATACTTCAGTAATTTGGGGGATTACAGGATTCACTAAACTTGACAGATAAGCTGACAATGCTTTATGCTGCAGGAGAAATACTAGGTGTCATGCCAGTAACAACATACACGGCCTGACTGAGACAGGCTCAGCTTTTAGTTCGGAACTGCTCTCGACATTCTTACAACTCTGGAGAAAATACCATTACAGCCTGAGTCATCAAATTAGGCATTGTCATGTACAGCCCTACTACAACAGGAGCAGCGGTAAAGTCTGAATTCTTGGAGGAATAAATAGCAAGCCAGCAGGGACAGGGCCACTGGCACCAACTGCCTTGAAATCCTTGCTCAGCCTCATCCTGTATTGACAGCACTGCCACTTATGTTTCATTTTTCCCTCAGCCTCTCCTTAAGGTATTTGACACTTGTTTTGTCACTCACAGCCATACAGAAATTTGATCACCTCAAGCGCAGGAAGTAATACTGAACTCATGTCCACCTCTCCAAACAGCTCCTTCTTCCAACAGCCAGGATGGATTCATCTGTGCCTCATCCTGGCCTGCTCCTTTCTCTCTCCCCAAAACTGCCCAGAGCATCAGAATGAGTCAGCATAAAAAGTTTATATGGACGACCTTGTCAGGAATTAAACTCTGTAAATTAATTCTTGTGTAAGACTGCATGTAGCCCTGTATAAAAAACTAAACAAGGGAAGGCAAGTGAAACCCTGTCTTGAACCCTAAGCACTTCAGGCAAAACCTCTAGTACAGAAATTGCTGTCTTAGGTGTTGGTACTTCTGATGAGGGAGTATGAAGGCTTAGGAATCAGGAACAGAGAGAGACAGAGCTGTTTATTTCAAAGCACTGTCAGGTGCTTCAGGTAGGGAACATCCAAGTTCATCCTCTCAGTGTCTATTTATAGGGAGATGTAAGTCTCAAATCAAGGAGCTGGGACTAACTTTAAAGAAATAATTAAAAACCAGCTGGAATAATTTAAAAATATGTTTTGGAAGCGTGCTTCAGCTGGGCTGCCCACCCTCTACACTCTCTACTTTAGCAGTTATATAGCATTTGAACATGCTAACCAGGTTTCAGCATTACCACACAAATGAAATTAATAAAACTGGGTTTATAGCTTTAAAGCAATTGCATGAATTGCCTCCAGTCTTAGAGCCAGAATATAATGTTTAAACACACACATTCCTTTCAGTATCCTCCTCAGATTTTTAAAAAGGTAAATTACCTGATGAGTCTTCTGAGGTTCTGCTGTGGTGCCTTTCGATAGCTGCTGCACTTCTTTCTGAACTTCAGCAAATGCTTTATTTATTGCACTAACTTTTTCAGCATTTTTAATGTTTATCTGGGAGGGAAAAAAATACACCGACATGTGAAATTGCACCATTTTTGTGCAAGTATTATGCATCCAGTATTATATTTCTGTCTTCCAATATTGCTCTTCAGTATGTGTATCTGTTATTTAATTAGGCCACCTAGTCCTGTACTAATAAATTTTAAATGGAGAAAGTAATTAAACTTATTCTATTGGAACGGGAGCCCACAATGATCCAGAAACAGAACACAGAGCAAACAAAAGTCAGGCTGTGGACAGGCCCTGCTATATTATATTTAAATTGTCTCTGCTGCTCTTTCTTCCTCAGTGGGGGGACTCATCACACTCTGCCCCAGTCCAATGTGAGGTCCCTCCTATAGGGGACAGTCCTACACGCTCTTGTCCAGTGTGAGTCCTTCCCACAAGCTGCTGTTCTTCACAAACTGCTCCACCACGGGTCCCCTGTAGAGTCCTAGGTCCTGCCAGGAGTCTGCTCCATCATGGGCTCCTCTCTCCATGGGCCCACAGATCCTGCTAGGAGCCTGCTCCAGCACAGACTTCCCGCAGGGTCACAGCCTTCTTCAGGCCCTCACCTCCAGCAAGGGGACTGCAGATGGATCTCTGCTCCACCATGGACCTCCATGGGCTGCAGGGACATACCATGATCTTCCCCACAGGCTGCAGGCGAATCTCTGCTCTGACACCTGGAGCACCTCCTCCCACCCTTTCTGCACTGATCTGGATGTCTGCAGAGCTGTTTCTCTTATAAATTCTCACTCCTCTGGTCTGACTGCTGCTGGTGTTGTGCAGGTGCCTCCCCCATTTCTTAACTACGTTTTCCCATAGCACTGCCAGTCCCTGCTGGGCTCAGCCTTGGCCAGCAGTGGGTCTGTCTTGGAGGTGGCTGGCACTGGCTCTGTCAAACACAGGGGAAGCTTCTGGCAGCTTCTCACAGAAATCATCCCTGTAGCCCCTCAAACCCAATATAATTTGCAAATGATTTTACCACTTTGAATTTCTTCCAGTAGTTTGCCCTTCAACATCACACCCTGCATCCTACTTGTTGGTCTGGCCAACGTCTACCAGATTTTGCCACATTTTTTAAAAGAAATTCTATGGCTGTAGCAGGCCAGGATGTGTATCTCTGGGCATCTCAGCCTCAGTTTTAGCCCAAGTCTGCCTTTATAAGTTATTTCATCAAAGATGCTTGCTTTTAAAGGGGAAGAGCTAAACTATGGACGTGTGCTATGCTTTGGAGGCAATTATCCATCATAGAGGAGCAGGGTGGATGCAAGGGGGCATAAACTCTTTCACCACTGCATCTGGTCTCAGCCCTAGCACCTATTTCTTCCAAAGTCTGGAACGGGATCATAGCCAGATAATGGCTTTTTACATTGCAAATGCTCCAGAAGCACACTCATAAGTTTTCAGGTAACCCCAAATTTCAGGATCCCTACTCTGCCAAAGGCTAACCCTGTAATTCACCTCTCAGCATTTTACACAGGCAGAAGCAAACCATGAATACATACTCATTTTGCTTTCAAAGCCTCATTTATTTCAGAGCATGCTTCCATTAACAATAACTCCATTTATTCTGAGTGCCCAAGAGAACTAGTATTAAGAAAGCAGTGGCAAGAGGCTGACAAAACAGGCCTACTCAGATTGGCACTTTAATCCATAATAACTTGGACAGTGGCTGTAGAAATACAGACCCAGCTCCGATCAGAGGATGGACTGTGGGTAACACAATGGACAGAGATCTTGGACTTTCCATCAGGGCTTGTCAGCTTCACAGGGGTGTTAAAATGATCCAGTCAGTTTCAATACTTAGTATCTTCAGCTACTCAGGCAGGACTCCTCCATAGAAAGAGGCTGTATAGCTAGCAGGGGTATCTACATCAGAAGTTGTCTGAATAGTTATAATGAGATTTTAGCTACTAAAGAATAAAAGTAATTTTAACAATTTTTTTTCTGAGCGTCTTCCTATACTGTTTAATAATAAATAAATCCCATTAAGCCCAAAGGCTTACTGCATTAAAGAATACAGCTTCAAACACAGAGAATAAAATTTTACTCCTAATAAGCTTCTGACTTTTCATGAATATGATTTTAAACCTGTTTCTCCCTTTATTATACAGAACACTCTAGATTAAGAGGAGATGCGACGCCAACAACATGAAATTGTTATTTCCAAAGTTTGTTAAAGTTCCTGTCTGTTCACAAGATTAATTTGTCAAGTGGCTTTGGCTTGCAGGAGGAAATCAGAAACAGCCTTTTCTTTAGAGCTGTTTAACTCTGTCCAGCAGACTGCAGCTGTACTGGACAGGAACAATAAGCCACTAATGTTCTGATTTTATTGCTTTTATTACTTTTATTACCAGATGCCTTCCTAGAGGGACAGCTGAACTCTCAGCAGAACACACACCTCAGGCTGGAGGCAAGGTTTGAGAAGATACCATATAATGACTCACTGCTACCAATGGGAAAACTCTTCCTTAGATCATCTCCCATCCCCCTTCCCCTGCATCGCTCCCAGCTCCACAACCCACTTTCTCCCTCCTCTGGGCTGTGCTCTCTCCAGATATGAAATCGAGAGAATAATATTTTTGCTTCTTTACTTTTTCATTGCTTTAGTGTGTTAGATCAACTCACAAAAGCATCTGCTGAGCATCTGCAGCCCCTGTAAGGTGCAAGAAGGGATCAAAGAGGAATTAAGAGCAAAACGTACCACAGTGTGTGTGCCTAGATCTATTCACTGCATATCCGTGACACGGTTTTACTTGACAGCTGAGGCAAATAAACAGCTACTGGATCAGAAAAAGCTCCATCCTTTCTAGTTCTTCCCCACCAAAACGTTTCCCTTTGCATTCGTTCATTAAGAAGCTCGTTCAACTCACCAACCCACCCCATAAAAATCCAAAATGCATTTTTAATTGCTGTTGCTGCTGATTTAGCAAGTTCAATCACCTAGAAGGTGATGAGTTTCCGAGCCAGCATCAAGGAGAGCTGTGGAAACAGAGCCCAGAGCCTGGTAAAGGGGGCTGGGCTTGGGAACAGGATGGAAAGGAGCAGGACGTGCTGCTAATCCGTGAACTCACTGAACTGCCGATGCTCCCTTTAGCATCGCATACCCTAGGACACGCCGAGATGCCATCAGACACTTCCCAAATGACACCTTCTTCCTAAGAACCACTTGAAATCTTCTCTGGCAGATGCTGCAGATCAGTCAGATCAACTCTTCTCTTTTTGCAAATGATGACATCTACACATAAACCTGATTTACGGTGAAAACGGTGCGCTTTGCCACTCTGTGCCCGGACGCACACCGTCCCTAAGACAGCTCCATTTAATCAGTCCCGATTTAATCAGTCCCGAGAGCCTTCCCCGCACGCAGCGAGGCCTCAGAGGAGCAAACCCCGCGGGGCCGAGCCCTCCCGCAGCGGGACTGGGCCCTCCCCGCGGCGGGGCGGCACCGCCGCGCCACTCACCTGCTTCAGCGCGGAGGTGACGGGCCTGGCCTTGCCCTTGGCCTTGGCCCTGAGGGCGCCGCTGCGGGCGATGCTGAACACGCTGCCGGCCTTGGCGGCCGCGCCGCGGCTCTTCCCCATGGCGGCGGCTCCGGGGCAGGGCGGTGACGTCACGCCCGGGGCGTGGCGTCGGCAAAGCCGCCGGTCCCGCAGCGCTGCCAGCGGGGGGCGCAGCGCCGCGCGCGGCCGCCAGGGGGCGAGCGCTGCCTCTGCCCTGTGTGTTCCCTGACCCTGTCCCGCTTCTGTCCTTTCCCTGCCCCTTCCCTACCCCTTTCCTGCCCTTGCACGGCACGGCACGGCCCCCCTGCGGCTCCCGAGCTCTCCCAGCCAGGTTTCCCAGCACGGAAAGGCTGAGAGCTCCGTGCCGCGCTCCCGCCGCCGGCCGAGCGCCGCGTAGCCCAAAGCACGTGCCCGCGGGCAGCGCCCGGGGAGATGGTGTAAAAGAATAAATGCCCAGTGGGTTGTGGGGACACCTTCCTGCCTGGGAAAACTTGGAGTCTTCCTACGGCCCGTTCCAAAGGGAATTGGGTTCGCTCCCCTGGGAGTAAGGCCGGAGGGGATGCAGCGTTGAGCGCTTCGCTTTACTTTCGGGAGGGGCGGGAGTGACCCCAGGAGTGAAAACAACTTCCCCATCTTTCCTCGTCGCACAGCTCGGGCTGTAGCGGGACGGGGACTGGCGGAGGGACAGCACCTTCCCTCTGTTGGAGCGGAGATATGGGACTGCAGCCCCCGGGGGACCCAGACGGTGCTGGGGGCACGCTGGGCGGTGGAAGGCTTAGGCCGAGAGCCGGCACGGACGGGCCGGGGGCCGGAGCGCCGCAGGCTCCTTATCAGCGCCCGAGGATCGGGGCGTCGCCGCCCGTCGCCTTCAAATCGGGCGCAGCCGCCTCTCCCGTCCCAGCCCGTCCCATCCCGTCCTGTCCCATCCCGTCCCGTCCGTGCCGTGCCGGCAGGAGAGCAGAGCGATGCTGCACTGGGGATACGACGAGCACAACGGTAGGGGGGCGGAGGGCGGGGGGCTGGGCCGGCGGGGTCCCCCCGAGGGCACCTCCTGCCGCCGAGCTCGGCAGCTCCCGCGCCCGCGGGAAAGCTGGATGAGCCGAAATCCTGTGGAGGCTGTGCAACGTGAGAGAGAGTAGATTTTTGTCTGGACAAAGTTCAGATTTTTGTCAGGCGGCTAAGAGAGGTGTCTGTGCGTGAGGCACCGCCTGCAGAGTCCGGCCAGGGCTTGGCTCGAGTCGGGTCTGTCGCGATTTCGTTTGCTCGTGTAGCTGAACAGTTGCGTGTGCACATAGACTACAGTCACACTGATCGGACCTGCTGTATCGGCAGTGCCTTTCAGATTCCAGCTGTCTTCTGCTTCTGTTACACGGTGGGAATTCCTGGTTGCTGGAATTGGTAATTTAAATGTATAACTATGCACCTAAGAGGAGATGCTTTTGGATTTTAGTTGTTCTATGGTTTCCTTAATCTTGCCGGTCTTTGAAGTCCCAAGATGTTCTCATCAGCAGGCTTAAAGACTTTGTTCTGGTTTGCATTTTAAGTCATGCAAACGCTGCTCCTGTGTGCAGACGGTCTCACAAGTCCTGCAAGTAGAAGTGGAAGTGATTTTGTAAATTGGAGGCTCGGTTCTGACAAAATACATGGAATAACTTGTATTGTCTGTACACAGAGAAATAAGACATCATGACAGTAAAGGGAGAAAGCTATATATTTGCATATACTAATGCCTGTAAGAATATGCAGAGTTTGGAATATTGTTTGTGCAAGTACTACCTTTCCTTTCTGGCCTTCTTGTTCCATCTTTTCTGTATGGATGTACTTTTCCTGAAAAACTGGGTGGTGGTGGATCGCAGTGATGTTGCAATGATTAGGTGTGTTATCTGCTGTTGTGCAGTCTACTCTACCCCTCCCCTGAAGACGTAAATGGGTCTTGTTTTTCAAATTTGTTTCTCCATGTATTTCCATGCTGTGAGCTTCACCTGCACTGTCCAGATAAGAAGCCCACTCTCCCTCCCTTATCCTATCTCTCCTTGTTTGCTATTCTCAACTTCTAGAGAGGGGAGGCCAACAGAGTTTCTATAGGGGTGGCCCTGGATCTTGCTTGAGGCCCCATTTCTGCTATAAAACTCTGTTTACTGGCTGATAGTGTATTTGAGATGGAGTTTGCCTTTCACTCTCTCCTTTTTTGGAACCCCAGCAGCAGTGAGGTGGGTAGTTCCTGATCAGTCCACCCCCTTTCCTCTGCCTCTCACGGGAGACTAAAGGAGAGAGGCATAAAATAGGTTCCCTGAACCTAAGACTAACTTTTGCAACTCATGAAGCAGAAACAAAGTGAAATTAGTTAAATCTGGTGCACTTATATCTATAGTTGACTGGCTGCAGCGTTGAAAAGCCATCTGTGTTCCCTCTGAGTTCTGCATTTGTTACTTGCAATAGTCGCAACATAAATCATTGCATGCATAAAGTAAACTGTTAAATATTACATATACATGTCTGCCTATATGGTATATCTGTGTATAAGGCATGGGCCCACTGTTATAGACAGAATTAAAAGTTTTGGTGATTGACCCTGGCTGGATGCCAGCTGCCAAAGCAGCTCTATCACTCCCCTTCTCAGCTGGACAGGGGAGCAAAAATAGACTGAAAGGCTTGTGGGTCAAGAAAAGGACAGGAAGACATCACTCAGCACTTACTGTCATGGGCAGAACAGACTCAACTTGGGGCAATTAGTTTTATTTGTTGCCTATCAAATCAGAGTAGGATAATGAGAAAATAAAACAAAATCTTTAAAACAACTTCCCTCCACCCCTCACTTTATTCCAGGCTCAGCTTCACTCTTGATTTTCTCTATGTCCTCCCCCACCAGCAGCGCAGGGGACGGGGAATGGGGGCTGCAGTCAATTCATCACACACTGTCTCTACCTCTCCTTCCTCTTCAGCGGGGGAACTCCTCGCACTCTGCCCCTGCTGCAATGTGGGCACCCATGGAGAAAAGATCACCATGGACTTCTCCAATGGGAATTCTTCCCACAGGCTGCAGTTCTCCACAGACTGCTCCAGCATAGGTTCCCCACAGGGAAGCTTCTACAGCTTCTCACAGAAGCCACCCTTTTAGCCTCCCTGCTACCAGTAGCTTGCCATACTGGTTGCTTTGATGCATGTATTTCTGAAATGCAACAAGGCATTATTTTATTTCTATGAAAACCTTGACCTTTGCTTTCTCGCCACTTTTTTTACCTCACAGTTTTGATGGTGCTTATCTATAGAGGCATAATATTGAAATCTTGAAAACTGGCTTCAGTGTGGCGTCATTAATGCTTTTCAGTGCTGCTCGAGGTTCCTGTCAGGAGGGGAATGTTCTCGCTCTTCACAGGAACAGTACTTTTAGTTTACTGGGGAATTCCCTCAGTTAAAAGGCAAATCACAGAATCACAGATTGAGTAAAGTTGGAAGGAACCACAGTGGGAAGTCAATTGCCTTCTGTTTACTATTTGTTTAATGAAATGTATGGAAAATACTTACATGAATTGTCTTTTACTGCAAAAAATTTCTCTTGATCTAGTTACTACTGTAACAGTGAGGCATTTTATAAATAAAAGGGATATGATTCATAGAGCCATAGAGAATCATTTAGGCTGGAAAAGACCTTTAAGATACTTGAGTCAAACTATAACTCTTTATAGATTTTTTTCTCTCTGGGAATCATTACATCATTTTGATAGCTGCTTTAAAAAAAGGCACTTAATTTTAACCCTTATTATTTTGTAATGGTTTTTATTTGAGCTAGTCTTATTGTAATCTAATATGCAACTAAATTACTTGCAAACCCAAGTTTATAAATTTAAGCACTTTATGTATGATAAACTGAGCAATAAGGATGTGATCCTCTCAAGGTCAGACCATAATAAAATAATGGACTTTCTATATGTAATAGCAAACTCTCAAAAAAAAAAAAAAAAAAGAATCCAGTTTTTCACCTGTACGTGCTTTATTTATGCACATATAGAGGCTCCCTGGAACTGAACTGTGTCCTGCAGTGTCTTCACTGGGTTTGTCTCAAGTTAGTCTATCCTTTTGATGAAATTCATGATCTTTAACTGCAATTGGATAAAAACACAACTTTGTCAGATGCTACAATGAGTTCTATTTCCTGGCAAATTCCTAACTACCTTCATTATGAGATCTGTGTTATGAACTGGATTTGTGCGGTGCTGGTGAGTGGTGTATGCAGCGATAGTCTGACCTAAAAGTGTCGGAGGTGTGCATTGCATTTGGTAATGATGTGTCCAAAAAAAAGACATGAAATGTTCAGAGCAAATAGTTTGAATTTTTGTCATAAATCTTGGTCATAATGACTTTGATTGTTAAGGGCTAGTAGGTAATCGCCTCTAGCAACAGAACACTTTCCCAATAACAAGAGAGCATTTCATAAGTTCAAAAATTGGTATATTAATCACTTTCCTTAGTTAAATGAAAAAAAAATGAAGGGAGGTGAATAGTGAGTTATACGTCCCTGGAAGGGACATGTTTTGAAGTACATATTTATAAAACTAAACTGTACATTATGTTAATATGGAAGCATCTAGTTCAGATCCAAATTCAGAAGAAATTTGCACTCTGGAGATCCCATTGCTTAAATGCGATTGTATGATGTGCATTTGAGCATTTCTTCCAACTGTAATGACTTTTTTCAACAGTCATATCCAAAGGCTGTGGTGGGGTAGGGTCTGTAGTAATGAACTGAGTTACAGTGTTCCTAGAGTAGCAAGAGTATAATAATAGATTGCTGGTAGATCATCTAGTAAGGAATGCTGTTTGATATGACCTGGTGGTACAAAATGAGCTGAAGTTTCATGATATTTTTCTGTATATTTTGAAAGGTGAGATTTCTGGTTGTCTTGTTTACTCATAGAAGTCTAATCACCATAGCAAAACAGTATTTTGGTCATCTGAGCCAAGAACAAGTACAAAAAGAACTACGATGTCTTTTTAGAACTGAAGTTTACTGTAAAATAATTAGCTAATGATAGAAACACAGCCTTGGGTCCTCTTTTAGGCACCTTTGTATTATTTCTGAATGCAATTCTTTCATATTATGTAATGTATAATAACTGTAGTTATTTTGGAGTTAGAGCAATAAGACCAAGTAGCTAAGCATATTTTGTCTTTTCTCATTTAGGGAATATTGGAAACATTAAAATTAAGTAGCAATAAGCTTTCTTTAAGCATCCCAAAACACAGTAGTTAGGTATAAATGACAGAGTGCTGGTTTGTATGAATAAAACTTTGCGTTGCATCTTTAACTACAGGGTGCTAGGATCTAAATACAATTAAAGATATGCTAAACTGTACATAATGAAAATATTGGATAGCTTTGATGACCATTTGTGAAGTGAGAAGAATTAAGTTTAAACAGTTTTATGTTTCAAACATAAAGTAGGATTTTTTATCTTCTGCCTTAGAAGTGATTTCCTTAATGCATTTAGTTAATGCAGTCATTAACAAAAGGACTTTTTAACAAATTCAAGACGAAAGACCGTTGCTTTTGTTCTGCCTGAGGCTTAAAGTCTTAGGCTGTTCTTTACAGATTCTCCTTCTCTCTTCAATTTTCAGAGGAGAATCAGCCTCTGCCCAGGTGGCTGTGCAAGCTACTGCCCCACGGCACTTCCCTCCCTTCCCGGGAGCTTCCCTCCCTGATTTACTGTTGGGGCCCCTTTAGCACCTGTGAGATTCTCAGCTGTGTTTACTTCTATTGAAGTCGAGGAAAGAAAAATATCTAACAAGTTTTGATGTTATGCTGTTAATCATGGTGTCATACATTTTAATCTTTTATTTGTCAATATGTTTATTTAAGTGCTAAGCTATCCAAAAAGACCCAAACCAATAGGCTAATTTTTACACTGTGATCAATTATCTTCAGTATAGGGAGTTACAAAGATTTCCAGTGATGCAGATTTTGTGAGATTAGGTTCTCATGCTTGTATTAAGGTTTTCTTATATCTAGTCTCTCTTAGTTGATTTATTATGCTTTGTATCCATTATAAGCCTGGAGTGCTATGCATTTATTAATACTGAAAGATCATCTGTCCTGCAGACTTTCCCCTTTCACCTTTCTCTTTTTCCCTTTCCTCTTTCCCCTTACTTTATCCTCCTTTCCATTCTAAACCTTGTTTTCTATCTTTACTTACTGAATATATTCCCCAAGCAACTTACTGTTCATATTTTCTTCTTTGGCCTCTTTACCTAGGTATGGTTAGAAAATTAATATATATTCTTATTGAGAACTTTGTTGTTTCGTAGATAACAGATAACTCACTCATCAATGAAGCTTTTCGTACTGTTTTAGAATTGCATTTGCCATTTTCTCATAGCCATATTATTGATTTATTAGCTTTTCAGCTTACATTTGACTTAGCTTTCATGGAGGGAGGAAGGTTAATTTGAGATCACTGGTATTGATTAACACCTTCTTTAGTCCTTCAGTTTCTACCTAACTCTGATAATGGTGCTGCAAGTCTGTGTCTGGAAGATCTACTTTCATTTATCAGCAGGAGGTAGTAGAAATCCAAACCTCATGCAGGTACCACTGTCTGAGTGTTCCTGTTCTTGGATTTTGTTAGTGCTACGCGTGTGTGTGTGTGTGTGTGCGCGTATAGACTTTGTGATTAGAGGGTGACAGTCTCCCTTTTGTAGTGACAGCTGGTGTGCAGAGTTGGAGGTGACCGGTGGTGCAGCAGTGCTTGAGTTACAGGCACTGCCATCAGGCTCCAGAAGAGCCTGTGAACCACTCACCTTTCTTACCTTTTTTGACATCTCCCCATCTCGTTCAGCATAGTCAGTAGAAGATGTGTTCTCAGGGCTTTTGCAGCAAATGACTAAGGTATAAAAAAAGTCCTTAATGCAAGGATTTGGATAGAAAAGAGGTAATCCTTAAAGGCATAATGAGACATGATAATAGGCAAAAATGGCATGTCAGAAATTTATTGGGGCATAGTGTCTGTTGGATAAAGGATGCTTGATTTGAATGAGCATTTGTTGAATGTGTCTTGTGCATAGTTGAGTCTTAACTCTGAATAAGTATCTATATACTGCATGTGGCCTTGTTCAAGGGCACATGCAAGGTACAGAAGGGGTCCTGAGAGCTGTTGTTGTGATACAGCAAAAGTAGCTGAGTATTTTGATCTGTGTTTTCCTGGTTGATCCTTTCTGAATTTAAAAGACTCAAATGCAAACAAATCAAGCAGAGTTTCCTTTCATAAGAATGAGGGCACTGTCATCAATTTAGACTTCTCCTCCAATGCATTGCAGGGCCTGCCCACTGGAAGGAGGTTTTTCCTGTTGCTAATGGAGACCGTCAGTCACCCATCGACATCAAAACTGAGGAAACCAAGTATGATCCCTCCCTCCGTCCTCTAAATCCCAATTACGATCCAGCTTCTGCTAAAATCATCCTTAACAACGGGCACTCCACCAGTGTGGAGTTCGATGACACCATCAACAGATCAGGTTTGTTCCTTTCCTGTTGCACTGTGTCTTCCTCTGCCATTTCCTATATAGAGTGCATAGAACCTGGGTACATATCACTATTGGGTATGAACTCCTCATGAATAATAAGGCTTTGCTCCTCCAGATGAGAGATTCCTTTTTTCCCCGTCTTTCAGCATGATACAATGTGGGAATATATTTGTACATGAGTTCGAGATTGTGTTTCTCAGGAAGTGCTGGGCTTCCCTATTCACAGGGGTGATTTGATCCACCCCAACCACCTGGGTAGTTCCAGCCATCCTGTTTGAACAGTGTTGTGTACAGTTTTTCAGATGCTGCTCTCTCTCTCTCACTGCAGATGAATCCTTTGTGTCTCATTACAGGTTCATTCCAACTGAATCGCTCAAATCTCTTATCTGAATTTAGCTGCAGGTTTGGTTATATGTTTTTCCCCTTTTTACAATCCATACTTGGACTTCTTATGTCAGGAAAGAGCCAATACAGAACAAGTGAAATATATCGAAGTGATCCCTTTACTTCTCTGAAAAGTGTTATTGTGCCAGTCTTTTCCAGGAGTATGTAGCTTACCTTTTTGCAAGCAATAGTTCTCTGGTTTAGCATAGTCTTTTTAATGTTAGTGCCTTCATCTTTAAAACCTTCTCTTAGATGTTGGGCAAGCCAGCACACCCCCCCCTTGAAACTGTTGGAGCACAGAATCTTCAAGCAATAATATCGTCTTGTGCCTGCATGAGGCTTAGCTGAGGATCCAAGCCCAAATGATGCTTCCCCAAGGGTCAAAGCCAGAGGGGAACTAATTTTTGATCACCCTGTCCATTAGTCCTGCGGACTTGTTAGCTTATAGTGTCAACAGGGAGAGAAGTAGACGGAGACACCATCGTGCTTTGGTTTCCTGGACAGTCTTAGTTTTAAATTTTCTGTCAATACAAGCAACACTGGATGTTGCCTGAGAGACACCAGCTGACCATCAGTGATCAGTCTGACCTCGTGTGTGTCAGATGCCACGGGACTTCCCAGAATTAATCTCTGCTTCAAGCCTAGTAGGCACTGGTGAACTAAAGCACATCTCTTAGAAAATCATACAATCTTGATTTCAAATTTTCCAGCGATGATGAACCTACCACAGCCATTGGTAAGTTGTTCTAACTGTTAATTATCCTCACAATTAAAAAAATCAAAATCACACTTTATTCCTGATGTGAGTTATATCTATTTAACCTTTAAACTCCTTTTTTTTGAATGGAGTTTTTGAATGTGAATACGCCAAGAACCTCTTCCACTCTCTTAATTCCATTAATGAAGTGACAGAGCGTGAACATAACATTTCTGTAGGCTTACCATGGTACCAAAGCAATGGTAATGTGATCCTCCTCTTACTCCTTTCCTCAGACCATATCTCCAAGAACACAGTTCATATCATGGCAAAGCAATGGCAAATGTAGATCAGATACTTAACAGATGCAATCCTCACTCTCATTGAGCATACTCCATATCTTCTTTGTGACTAGATTCTTCAGTCCATATCCATAAACTGAGTAATTCACTATTTTCCTTAATATTTGTCACTGACAAACTTTATCAGTAATGTTTTTGTTTTCTTTCAGGTCATTGCTCAAAAAATACTGAATTTTCTAGGGCCCAAATTTGGCTTCTGGGGCTCCCCTGTGAAGTAAGAACTCCTGCTATGTGTTGGTTTCATTTAAAAAAAAATCAAATTAATTGGTACTAAATACATAAGCATCTTTTAATGCATTATTAACTGACTTCCATAAGAACTATTTCTTCACTTTGGTCAGCGTTGAAATTGGGCTATCAGATCTGTAACTGTTTATTTAAGGTTGTTTATGCTCTTTGATGCAACATTATCTCCATTCATTGAAATTGGTCTATTGATCTTCCAACATTTTTCAAAATTCGAGATACTGATATCTGCCCAAAAAGCTTCTGACCAACCTTCTCCTTAATTATGACTGGAATGAAAGGGATTTGCCATCCCTGTATGACGTGGCACAGATACATCATCAGGCCATTTTTCACATTTTTCAGCACAAGTATTTCACACCAATGCATTTCTACATGATAGTTTTCCCTCAGCCAGTTACAACACTGATCTTGACACATTTCTAGGATCATTTGCCTCCAAGTTTTCATTCCTTGAAAGAAGTAATTTGTTTTAGGAGTGCCATTTCCCCATCCCCTCTGTCCATACATGTAAAAGCATGATTTTGAGTTGAAGCTTTAAGGATATTTTTCCGCCTATATAAACAGTCCTATTTCCTTTTCATTAGCTAGCCTACTTGTGTTAGCAAATAGGCAACTTAGAAATTCTTCTTTCATCTTTATTTGGTGTATTTTGTTCCTAAGAAGGTTTAGGTTTTGGACTAAACCTAGAAGAGAGAAAAAATTGCCATTGTCCTCCCTACTGCTCTTCATTTAAAAACCATCTGAGTAAACCTCCTCTCATTTCCCCTTAAAATTTCTATAATAAGCCAGTAAACTATCCCAAACTGATTCCCAAACCTTCAGAGGAGATATGGAGCCTGGAGAATGGAATGATTTGTTTTGCAGGGAATAAGGAATCTTTTGGAATATGATTCACATTCAAGTCTCTGTGCAGAGATTGTTTGGTTCCAACTCTGATGCACAAATGATGTGCACTTGGAAAAGCAAAACAATGAAAAGCCCACCCATATGCATGTTAGGTTGAATAGAATTAAATCAGAACAGAATAGAATTAGAACAGAATAGCTTAGAATAGAATAAAATAGAGCACCTTCTTTCAGTTGGAAGGGACCTACAATGATCATCTCGTCCAGCTGCCTGAGCAATCCAGGGCTGACCAAAAGTTAAAGCATCTTGTTAAGGGCATTGTCCAAACACCTCTTAAACACTGACAGGCTTGGGGCATTGACCACCTCTCTAGGAAACCTGTTCCAGTGTTTGACCACCCTCAGGAAAGAAATGCTTCCCAGTGTTCAGTTTAAACCTGCCCTGGCACAGCTTTGAGCCTTTGCCATGAGTCCTGTCCCTGGATACCTGGGAGAAGAGACCAGCAGCTCCCTCTCTGCTTCCCCTCCTCAGAAAGCTGTAGAGAGCATTGAGGACGCCTCCCAGCCTCCTTTTCTCCAACCCAGACAAGCCCAAAGTACTTAGCTGTTCCTCGTAGTACATGCCTTCCAGCCCTGGCTAATTGCCAGTAATATTGCAGTTGTACAATGCATATGCAGCATGTTGATATAAGCTTCTTTTTCTCTGACTCCAATCTGATGTAACTAGATCTAGCTGCAAATAAAGGAAAGAGCCTTGAAATTTTTTTAAGCTCCACTTATTTTCCTCTAAATTTCAAAGACAAGAAGAAATTGTGCTGACATTATATTTTTATGATTTTTATGATCACCGCTTTTATTAATAAAATCTATATTTTAAGCTTAATGTCCTAGTGATTCTTTTAAGTTTATCCAAGAGAAGAAACACTCTTGAATGTTGCAAAATAAAAGTATTTTCCCATTTTCTGAGAAATATCCAATCTGTAGCAAGACAGACCTGGAGATAATAACATACCCTTTAGTGGTCCATGACTCACTAGCCTACACATAAATGCAATTTTCATAGTCATATTCTGGACAAGTGAGTGTTTCTGTAGTACTTCCAAAAGGTGGGAAGCCATCTGAGGCAGCTTTTGAGAAGGAGCAGAGGACTACCCAAAGACGGAAGTTTGGTGTGAGGTTAGAGGATGTGGGTAGAGGCTCCCGTTCCTGCAGTGAAGCCTTTCCCTCTGCTTGGGTTTCCAGTGCTGACTGGGGGGCCACTCAGCGGGACCTACAGGCTGCGCCAGATTCACTTTCACTGGGGCTCCAACGATGAAGCCGGCTCTGAGCACACAGTGGATGGGATGAAGTATGCGGCAGAGGTAAGGCTTTGCAGAGTCATCTGCACCTCTAAGCTTGTGACTAGTTTTCCATTGTAAGAATAATGTTGCCCCTCCTCTTCCCGCTTTTCATCTTCCCTGTATTTTGTCAAAAGACAAGCAGTCTTCCTGAAGTGTTGCATGTTTGATCCTTTCTCAAAGGAGAACCTATCTGAAAGCTTTGGAGAGGATTAAAAAAGGAGTACAGAAGACAAGATCTTGATAAGAGCAAGATTTAATGTTCAAGAGCTATTTTAAACTTTGTCTTTCACTGTCTCTTCCTTGGAGAACATTTTCAAAGTCAACTTCAATGACAAACAAGAGAATTATTTGATTTGGGTCCTGTGCAGTGTAAAGTTTATGCAAGACTTAAGAGTACTGCATTTTGTGGTGCACTTAGCAATGTGGTGGTTATGACTTTAAGAACTGCACCTGGGTATCTGTGGGGTGCCTGCTGTCTGTGGGGTAATGTGTTTCAGTGGAGGTGCCACAGGGAGACGTGCACCATCTGCTCTGGCAGGGAGCTTTCACTCCTGCTCTGTCTCCTTTGGTGCATTTGAGTAATCTGCAAGATAAAGTATTCAGTATGTGATTTTTCTTTGCAAATGGAAGTAACATAGAGTATTTTGATGAGACTGAGTCTTTAACAACAGGTAATTCCGAGAGTGGAAGAGATTTCTGGGGTTAAAAAGAAGTAAAAAGTGTAAAAATAAATGGTAATGGACAAATAAAAGGCATAATGCTACAGAAGAAAAAATGCAATTAATGCACAGTAGTTTTTGCTGGAAATGCTGTAAGAGATAACAGTCAGGAAAAAAAGATCAGTTTTCTAACACTAATGGGGAAAAGTGACATTTGCAGTGTTTAAAGGCTTATGTTTTCCACAGGAACCAGGTGAGATGGAATATAAAGAATTAATAGAGGTGCTTTAAAACCATTAAGTACCAACCCCAAATTTCTAGCTGAGAAAATTATATGTTTCCCATCTAAGAAACCAAATGGAAGGAGAAAATATCTCTGAATTTCTAGCCAGTCAAAAAACCTTTCTGTTACCTGTTGGTTGGGTAACCCTCCACAAGAAGCTCTCTAGATGTCATTTTGGCTTTGGGATAAGAAAACCAGAATTAAAATCAAGGCTTCTGAGCACTGTTCGCACAAAAGAAAATACCTCAGAAGGAGACACGAAAATGGTTTCAGTGCTCACCTTTGTAAGGAAGATATGCAAGATTTCAAGAAAAAGCATCAACTGAGTTGAAGAAAGAACTAGTGTACAGGTAAAGAAGACTTCAAGGTTTGACCTCTGATCCCACCGGGAAGCAGAAGCAATCCATGGATCCATTCTTTGTGACAACATATGGTCTGATCAAGGTCTCTTCACAAGCTGCAGTGACAGAGCGGTGGTAAGACGGGATATATTCCTTAAAGAGAAGTGACAAGCCATTGAGAATGGGTCTGTACCCAAAAGTGTTTCACAGCTCTGTTTCTTTGGGGATTTTGTGTTTTTTGGGATGGTTGGCTTGGGTTTTTTTGGGGCAAAAATATGAGGGAGTGGGAGTGGCCTGTTAGTAGTTGTGGGAATTTTCCTTTTTGTTCGTTGTTAGCTTTTTTTCTCTTTTTTTTTTGTTTTTTCAAATCCACAATAAAAGTCAATTCTGACTGAGAGTATCTGTTTCCTTTTTGTATATGTAAAAAGGTAATTGTTTAGAAGTTGTTCAATGTAGCTTCTGTGAACTTATAATAATGAGTGGTGCAGACACTATAAGCTCCAGGATACTAATGCACTTGTAAAAGGTTTAGTGGACTATGTTCTCTTCTTGGTTTAATTTATAATATTTTTAGCAACTTTCCTTCAAGGATTTCTGAAGCTGTGAGCAAGCATGTGTGTCATCGTGGCCATACACATATTATTGTTGACTACAGTGGGATTCCTTACTTGCTGGAAGTAATGTTTCAGCACTTTAGAGCCCAAGTGCTTAACAAACATTAACATAAAGTAAGACCAAGTAAGAGAGATGAAAAATTGAAACTCAGAGAGGTTAGGCAAGGATTGAGATTTAGAGTAAAAATCTTCATACTCCTAGATCCCTATTTCAACCATGCAGCTATGTTGCTTCCCATAGGAAACCTTTAAAGCAAGTTCCAGCTTTCCTAAATTGCTCTTGCTTTAGATGTCTTGTAAGTGCTGTATTCCAAAAGGAAGCCTTTTATTTCAGGGATTCATCCCAATTTAAGTCCTTCAATGAAGTTGCTTTCCAGCACTTCTGAAGAGTAAAGTTCAATGTCTGAAAAGATGGCCACCAATTTTAGAAAAGCCAATCTCATGTCCTGCTTCTGAACCTCTCTATCTAAAAACTATGGGTAATAAGATTTACTAATCCACTGAGGATTTGTGAAAGTAATTAATGTTTGTGAAGTACTTAGAATTAAATGCTGTGTGAGTGTTTATGCTCTCTCCAGAGGCTGGGACATCCTGGAGCTTTCCGAGGACCAGGAGCTGCCACCATGAATTGTGGACAGGAATTAGGAAACCTGGTTTAGCAGGAGGGACTTAGGTGACATGGGCGTAGAGATTATGGGGTTTTCCTTTTTTTGCACCTGGCTAGGTGGTGTCTTTAAGCTGCTTAAGCAAGTATGAGAGGACAGTTCCAGAATAATACGTGTTGGAAATGGAAATGCTCAAACCTGAGATAATCAAGCTGCTTATAAGGATCTAACTACTGGCAGTCATAGAAAATAACATTTGGAAAGTATAAAAAAGGAAATGTTGCTTTTTAGTTTGAACTAAACAAGGGAAAAGGGGTCAGTGCAAGTTTAATGTGTGTTCCTCTGCCTTTTTTCTAGCTATTTATGTGGCCGATTAATGTTGGTGAAAGCTTGATTAAAGAAAAAGATGAGTAAAATACTAATGACATTCTCATGAATTTCAATCACTTTTAAAAATCAGCTGTACTAAATATGGATTTAAAACCTTTAGTTATATAACCTTTGGCATTCTTGTCTTAACTTCCCAATTCAAAATCTGGGGGCCAACAGCAGTTTGCCAGGCACTGTGGTGTGCTGATTCCTGCTAAACTTTGAATAATCCCAGCCACTGGAAATGCTTTTGCCATTTGTGTGAACTATATGTTTACCGATTTCATGAAATATCTGCACTGAATGGCTCTGCATGCAAAAGAGTGAAGTAGAGTATGAGACCCAGAAAGTTGTAGTATTCATTTGCCACTGCTTCAGTTCAGCGAGAGTTGATGCTGTCTGTGGCTCTGCTTTTCAGCTTCATGTGGTCCACTGGAATGCAGAGAAGTATTCCAGCTTTGTTGAGGCAGCTCGTCAGTCCGATGGATTAGCAGTCATGGCTGTATTTCTGAAGGTAAGAAAAGAATGCTCCAGCCCTCCTAATAAATCTGCATTATTAGCCCAAAGAGGTAATGGTGTAGGTTGGTGCAATTATTGCTAAAAGATACTTGTTTTATACTTGTTTCCTTCATAGAATTTAGCTGCCAATATGGAAAGCTGTGCTTCCTTGAAGAATAAAAATATCAGATTAAGAGATTTTTCAAGACAGTGAGACTCTCTGTTTGCCTAGTTTGCACTCCAGTACAGCATAAGATGTGAAACTTAATTCAGATACCCCATATGGATCCAAATAATCTGTACATGATTAATAGGTTTCTTTATGGGGACAATCTGATTTGATTCAAATGTTTCTTTAATAGTTTGTTTTTGAGCTGGTAGTTTCTTCTAGAAAATAATAATAATGAAAAAAAATAAACCCAGAAACTGGAGAATTTCCTTATAATTATTATATACCTTTTTGCTGTTTGTACCTGTTCTAAGATGAAATTAAACTTGTGCAACAGCTTCATTGACTTCTGTATGAAGAAACAGATGGAGAATTCACACAATCTGTGGAAAAGATAGGGCTTTGATCAAATCTGTGGTTTCTGGTGGATGCCACAGCTTCCTGAGCACAGCTAGTGCTGGTGCTGGCACAGTCAGGAAGCCATCCCATGCAGCAGTTGCAAAGAACTGCTTCAGTAATTCAGTCTTTCCAGTTTGCATTATAATGGTTCAAGAAAAAGTGTCACTGGACTTCCAAGCAGACAAATTCTTCTTGGGATACATAAGAACAGTGTTTTCAATATTTTAAGTAATTTAAATTACAGATGTAAGCCTGCCACTTTTAATGTCCTGCATATTAAAACATGAACAATAATGGTTTCTATTATCCTGTAGTGAAAAGTTTGTGATTCATTTGCAGCTGAAATAATTACTATGGGTAGCCAGAATAATTATTATCAGCAAGGGAGCGGATCTTCTTTATGATGAGTACTGTTTCTAAGGACCAGCTAGTCACAGGCTTCCTCACAAAATCCATCAGATCTCACAGTCACTTAAGGAGAATTATATAAAGCAGTTTCATTATGCATTTCCTTTTTGATTATTTATTTTTGATATTTTCCTGGGAGCTCCAGTGTTTCTCTTTTCTCTGGTGTTAATAGATCGGTGAATGCAACCCTCAGCTGAAGAAGATTACTGACCGCTTAGACACCATTAGAATCAAGGTAAAGGAGTTCTTCTAAAAAATACTTATACAGATAGTTGTTTTTGTTATTTTGGTGGGGTTTTTTATTTTTTGAAACCTGACTGCTACTCCCCTCACTTTCATGTTCCCTGATTACTGGTATCATAGCTATCCACATCTGATTTGAGGCAGTTTAGGGGCACTTTTCTTAGGTTGAAAACTAAGTAGACAATTTTTATAAAGTAAAATATCAGAGAAAAAGACTAATTCCTCACAGAATCCAGTCTCTGATGAATGTGTTGCTATGAGAACAATAGCAGGGGAAGAACATACTTACGGAAAGCTGTAAAAAAGATGAGGGAAATATTTTGCCTGTTTTGCTGAGGTACAGGGTGAGAAATAAGTGAGGTACAGACTGAGAAATAATTCTATTGTTTGTGTGAGATAAATCAGCCTGATTCTCCACATGATGTTTTGTACAGTCATCTCCAGCCTGGTAGCTGGAACACAGAGAAATAGTAGTAACAGGTGGACATGGGAGGAGTGAAAGGGGAGAGGAGCCAGTGGCAGTAACCTGTGGGGTTACTTTGCCAGCCCCACAGAGACCACATTGAAAGTCCAGCATCTTCTGTCCTCTCCCTTCAACTTCCATCTCGTGGTCAGTTGTAACTCAGGGGAGCCTATGTTAAAATGACACCTTTGATGGTATCCTGCTGGCAGCAGGGACAGCAGCAGCAAAGCTGTCACAGAGGTGAGACCCCTTCAGAATGGCACTGATGAGGACCTCCATCACCCAGCATGCTGCCAGCCCACCTGATAGTGGAACAAGCTCTACCTCCTTTGGCATGATTTATCTTGGCCTCTTGCTTATAAATAACATTAAATAACTTTTCCATATCTTTTTCTTTTTTATTTTTTTTTTTTACTTTGAAATAAAATTCTAAATATACTTAACCTAGAATACAAATGAGCTTTTTTTCTTTTTAATTTCCAGGGTAAAAAAGCGCTATTCACAAACTTTGATCCTAGCTGTCTGCTTCCCAAGTCCCTGGACTACTGGACTTACTTTGGCTCTCTTACTGTTCCACCTCTTCTTGAGAGTGTCATCTGGATTGTTCTGAGAGAACCCATAAGTGTTTGTTCTGAACAGGTACTGTTTGATTTGTCACTGCTATCAAAATATTGCTTTTGTAAGACTTGAAATTGTAAATAACGTCCACAAATATGTCATTGCAGAATTTACTGGGTTTTCAAAAGGCAAAATCTGTATATCAAATTTATCCTGACTTCTTGTTGCTTTTCTTACTGTAACAGCTATCTTCACATCTAAAAATTAATAATCAAAAATAACCCTTAAGGAGCTTACAAAAAAAAAGAGTTCTGATGACGCTTAGGAATTCTGGAATCCATTTGATTTGATTACTTGCATATTCTGCTCAAGCCTCTTCTCTGGCATTTTTATCTGGCAGATAAATAATAAATTTATTCTTGCATTCCAGATATGTAAAACTCGATGAATTTACTAGAATTGTGAAAAGCGAATACAATTGTAATAAACTGAGGTTTATGGTAGGCTGTCTTAGGAAAACTGTGATACTACATAAAAGAGTCTATTTACATTTCTTGTTAAATTAAGCTTCATGATGTATCTTAACGTTGCAACAGTGACACCCAGTGGGCTGATGCTCTTGGGTGTAGAGTTTTTCTGATGAGAGACCACTCAGCAGAAATGGTGACTTCAGTCTTTATAAAAAATGTTAAGACAGTTTCCTGAATGGGATGCTTATGTTATTCAGGAGACCTCAGATTCTGTTTGCAACTGATTTGAAGTCATTTTTTCGCTCAGTGTGTGCATTTTTCTCATCTGTATCTCTTCCCTGCTCCAATCAATCTGGCTTTGTGAGACTCACTGCAATGCGTGTGGATCTAGGACTGAAAATTTGTGTTAAGGTATCAACTTTCCAAAGAGAAGCCATTGCTCATGTTAAAAACTTCTTATTTGGGCAAATATTTAATTAATACATTCTAAAATGTGAAATGATGTATACAAACAGCCATGTGTAACATGTTCAGAGGACGTGGTGTGGGAACTGTCAAGTACAGTGATTCTTTGCTAGTCATTCTTCATAGACTTTAACTATATCTTATGTATAAAAGTAGAAATATGCTATATTCTTATAAAGTTGCATGTAGCTAAAAGTGTGTATTTCCAGTAATGTCCACCAGTGTGATTGAACAGTCAGCACTATGACTGATACAGTTCTGCCATTTAGTTTTATTCCTCAAGTTTGTATTTCTGTGGGGCCTTATGGTTTGCTCCTGACTTTTTGTTACACTTTTCAGGTTGAAAGAAATTAAAAACAGCTTCTGAGTTTTTATAAATTTACAGGGAGCCTGAATTACAAATATTAAGTTTAGAATGGGGTGAAGCAAGATAACATTGACTTTTTTGCTCTTAATGCAAATAAGATGCAATGTACCATACAACTAAACCCTCTATTATAATTATAATGTCCTAACTTTGGCAACCTAGAAGGGAAGTAAGGTGATATATAGAAATAGTAAATATTGGAAATACTGGAAATAAAACCTAATGCTAAACTAAATCAGGTTTGGATTTCCTGAGGTTGATATGTGGAGTTCTGCTGGGGTTTCTTCTGGGATCAGCATATGGTGTGGTATGAATAACTGCTTGTTCTGTGTCTTCACAAGGAAACAATTTGAAATCTCTCCTGATTTGAGTAAATGCCAATTACAGCAGCTTTCTGTAGCACCACACCTGCAATTCCAGGTTAATTGTGAATATACTCTTTGAGCAATAAAATATACATAGAATGTGTTTAAGAAACATAATCTAATGTTTGGCAAAAAACATTCCAGAATCTCCAAGCTATGAAATCCAACTAAAAAATATAAACCCTCCTGATTTAGATCAGGTTATGAAAGAAAAGCTTGAATATAGGAAACAAGTAATCCTTATGCAGAGTTTCATGCTGACATGTATTTTGGGAAATTTTCTCAGTAGTCATCCTTTTTTCATTTACAAGGACAGAAATGGTGATATTGCCATTCCCCACATGCCTTAGTTAAATATAGTTCTGTTCTCACAGGTGTAAAAAGAAGTGACAAGTATCTTTAATATTTACTACATGCATTTTCATTGGTATCAATATGAGAGTTTTCTGCTGAACCTTATGTCTCTTTTGATTACAGCTGGCCAAATTCCGCAGCCTCCTGAGCACTGCTGAGGACGAGGTCGCCTGCTGCTTGCTGAGAAACTACCGGCCTCCCCAGCCTCTAAGAGGACGAGAAGTCAGAAGGAATTAAAGGAGTGAAGCCAGAGTAGTCTCCCTCTGAAACCAAAGGCTGAATTAATTCTAATAGTTAATATACTTAGTGATTTTTAATTTTTTTTTCATGAGTTGTTGTAACAAGTAGGTGTTTTTTTATTACTGGTTATCGTACAGTCATTTCACACAGACAGGTATGTCCTGAGCTGTTGCAGATTCATTGACAGGTTGACAGGTCTGACTGTGTTTGAGTGCATTGGTTTGGGAGCACAGAGGTCACTGCTAGTCATATGGGTCAGATGTGGTAAAGGAGTTGCCCAGAATTTCCCACCAAATTATTGGACAGGATGCCTGATATTATTGGCAGTACTGGATGTTTTGGGTTTATTCTTCTGATCTCTAACATAACATTTAGCTTCTATCTAAGACTTCACAATGTAATTCTCAAGGAAAAACTATTTCAATGATGTTATCATTTCACTTTCCTACAAAAAGCAGTAATGACTAACAGCATTTAAGTAAAACAGATGTTTATATGATCCTGTTATGCTCGCTGCTTCATAGCAGGAATCATGTACTGATTGATGTTTTTTTTAAAAAGCAAATAGTAAGGATTTTGTATATTGCCTGATCATGTCAGGTGAATTAGATATTCCTGAATTTCATAATGTGTAGTGATGAAATTGTCCTGAAACCTGAAAACTGCAAGGTAGAAGGGCATAGAGGAATTGTTTGGGTCTAAATGCAGTCTGTTGCATTTGGTGAACAATAAGGGACTAACTATAACACTATATCCATGTAGCATCAGACTTTTATCACTTAAAATCAGAAGGCAGGGGTGGCTGTTGCTCCAGACTCTTTCATGCCAGGCAAATAGGATGCTACAGGGTGATCCACATGGTGCATACCCCACACCATGCAGTGGAGCACAGCACTACTCAGGTATGTAGTGTCTCAAGGTACTGGCTGATGTTCTGCTGTCATGGTTGAACTTATGGTGGTTGCACTCACATTCCAAGACCAAAGAGAACATTCAGAGCAAGCCAAAGAAATTGGAATCAAGTCAATATCTAATAAAAGGCCCAGCCCTCAATAGCAATATGTTGAAATGTCCGTCTTTATGAATTGCCTGTGTTTCTCTCAGGAGCTTTTGTTATCTGAATATAATTGTTTGGTTTATGTCAGATTTATTTTTATTATTTTTAATAAACTTGACATAGGATGTAGCTTAGGATAGAATTAGGTTTACTCTCATACTGTGATAATTACGTAGTTACCAGTGATACCTGGAAGAGGCAGCTAGAGGTTTCATGGGCAGCAACAACCATCAATCTCTGTAGTACTTCTGACCAACTCATCTTCCATTAATTAATTTTTTATAAGTTTTATAGGCTCTGCCTTTTATCTCAGTGGGTCTTTTGATCTTAGATGGACAAACATGAGGGAAATCACAATCATGATTAAATTTATATGCTACTTTAATAAATTAGACATAGAGATATAGATATTTTAGCTTAGTTTAAGACAGGTGGACTTTTTTGTTTTCTCCTCCCCAGAATATAGCTATTATATGCTGCAAGGCCTGCCATTGCCTTTTGAATGTTTTCTGAAAGAGAGCACAAATAGACCATTAGAGAAATAAAGCATTTAGCAGCAGCAGGTACAAGCATTAAACAAAGGGAAAAACCCAGAAGCACTTTTTGTTTTCTGGCATAGGGAGAAGAATGCAGCTAAAAAGACCTCAGGATAGTTCATTCTAAAGGGCATGTCAGGCAAGTGTGCATGGAGAACGCGAGAGTGTGTTGTATGTTTTCACACCCCTTTTTAGACTTAGTGTTAGATTTGATATGTTTCCCTACCAAGTGAGTAGCTTCAGAAGAGGAAGCAATAAGGCTACTGTTTCATATCATAAACAAAAGTTTTACATGTTTCTTGCATATTGAAAACAGTGGAGTTGATCCATTGCTTTGATATTTATAAGGATTTTATCAAAATAAAAAATTGATTTAATGAATGTGTCTTGTATTTTCTGTTGAAGAGTTTAAAGTTTTACAGAGAGGGCTTCAGTTTTGTATCTAGCTCCTGCAGCTCTAATTTTAGAAAACACTGTCACCCATCATTTGAAGATTGCCTTTGGGCAGTGTAGTATTAGATATGTCTTTATGTTCCTTGCATAAAGTAAAATGTCCTGGGCAGTGGTAAGACATGCAATCAATTGTACAAGTTTCTGATAGTGCACTTTTGAACTATTGACTATTTTTACAGTTACGCTAATAAGTTTTAGAAGAAGTCATCATTCACAGTAATTCCCCTAATGTGGAGATGCTGTATTCATGTTAGATTGACCTAGCTGGGAGTTAGCAGAGACATCTGAAAAAGACTAGAAATGCTCAGTTGACTGAAATCCTTTGGGAACAGCTTCTCAGGTCATCCATCTGCTGCAACTCTAAAGTGAGAATGTGGACCCAGTCTTGCCTCTGAGCACTTGGTTGCATCCTCAGTCACTAATTTCCTGTATAGTCAAGCTACGCTGAATCTCAAGCAGACTACTCGATCTGCTCCCAGAGAATTAAATCTCAAGTGTGAACTCCATGTTGTACTAAGATGACTGCAGCAAACAGGGTTGAAATATGTCATCACTACTCCCCCACGGCTGCAGGTCTCTTTGATCAACTCTTAAACCTCTGACACACTTGGAACCTTTAAATTAAGAAGAATGAAATGCTCAAGTACCAAAAAACATAGAGTGTATTCACTGAAAATAGTAGCTGTCAACAATTGTGTACTGTTGTTGAAAGGTTGATCACTCATCAATTTATTCTCAGAATTAAATAAACCACAGAAGAGCCCGGGAGTCAGCTCTGCGGTTTTTGGCACAGGAGGGAACCAATGTGTTCTGCTGTGCTCATAGCCTTTGCCAGTCATGCTCATGATGTTTTTAATGTTGCATGCATTTAACATCAGCTGGGAATTTTCTTTATGTCACAGAAAAAACCTGGTAAGTAGCTGTCTTTGCTTCTGGAGTACAATGGGGTGAAGATACAGTAGACATCTGTTTACTGCCGTAAACCCACTTGCTGTATACCTGTGCTTTCTCTGCTGCTTTAGAGATTTGCCTCTGTTTCTTCTGCAAAAAGGACTTTGATGGTCTTACAGACATGAAGCAGGACCTAAAAGAATTCAAGGAATCAAGCTGAGGAAAAAAAACCCAAGTCAATTAATCAATTTCAAAATAACGTCACAGAAAAAAAAAAAAAGTGGAATATGGCATATGAATAAAATAAGATAAAAGAACTTTATGTGTTATACAGTTTTTACAAACTTAATAGAAAGGAGGTTTTGGATTTAGATTCTTGTAGTTGTAAATAGGCAAGGACTAGATTGCTAAATTGCCTATCCTTCAGTTGTTAAAAGCTGCAAATAATTGAGAGATTTGGAGTATCTTAAGGTTGTAGCCTCAACATGAAGGTATGAATGCCACAGGAATCTTGCTCTAGAGATTCTAGAGTATTTTTTTTCTTTTATTATCTATTAGCTAGGCTAAAAAAGCATGGTGACAATCTCCTTATCACTCTACTGCTTGATAGACTACTGACCTAACTGTTGGATTTTGTTGTCCCCCCACCTCTGATCTTGCTTTCTAGTTATAAATACAAAGTAAACAGTTTGTTTCATTTTTGGTTTTAATTACAATTGCTTGCCTTTGCTCATTTTTCTTTGGGTGTTCTTCCCTGGCATCTCCTTAGAACTTAGGATAAAAACCTTAACTTACAAGACATCCTGCAAAAATACTGTAGTGTTGTACTTCCATCAGTGTTCTGCACACATAGATAGCCTCCTTGGTTTTCATGTCAAGTCTTGCTATTATTTCCTTGTACAGATCTTACCTAATAGAGGTTTGGTCTGTGATTCAAGCTCTTAATTACTGTTATTTCTATACCTATTTGTGAAGTATTTGTGGACAGATGGCCTTTTCTGTGTGTCTGCTGTCTTTGTGAGACAGGAGATAATGATGAAACACTTAAAAAAATGTTTCTAAAGTCATGTTTCGTTTTCTGTTTCTGTCAACCTCTCCATCATTTTTCCCAAGTACAAGTTTTCACTGTGGTGAAACATTTGATCTGTCTCTTCTCTGGAAGAGAATTTGAGAACAGGGAATGTCTCTCACAGGAGAATACTGGATTGTCATGTGAAAACAAAGATTCTTTGCCTCTTCCCAACAGAACTGATGTGCTATAGTCAATTCCTGTGTCTGTTTCTATTTTGTCAAATTTCATCCACAAACTTGGGTAGATAAATTTGAATAATTTTTAGATACTCCTGACAATTTCATTTTTCAGATGTAAATCATACAGGATACATGAAGCAGGTAGATAAAATATATATTTTTGTGAAGATCTGATTTAATATTTTTTTCTTTCTCTGATTTGAAAGTATTTTGAATAAAGCATCAGCTGCTTAAATGTCAACATTTTGCTTCCAGTTCTTTTCTTTTCTACAGTTGTATGAACACTGGGCAGAAATGTCCTCTTGATAATGTTTGGTTTGTTTGTGTTTTTTTAAAGCAGCACTTTGGTTATTTTGAGGAAAAAAATTAACCCAGTCATTCTCAGTGTTTTTCAGAGAGTTTGTTCTTGATTTCTGTTCTCCTTTTGTCCTGTTTAAACTTCCATTTCTTTTGTAGTTTATGACTTCATGAATAAACCATTTACCTGGAAGTCACTAAAAATCTCAGCATCCAAACGTATATTCCAAAATTGTTTTAAAATTCTCATGGTTACGTAGAAAGCATTAGTACCTATGCATGAATGAAAGAATGCTGTGTCCCCAGATCTGAAGATGGTAGAAGCAATCTAAAAATTGAAGATTTAAATAGTGTCTGTTACCTATTTCATTGCAAATACAGTTACAAATAAGAGTAATATCTTATTGTCATAACAAACTAAATAATATTAAAGTCATGGTACCATGCTATTCAACAAAGTATTGATTTTGAAGTCTATTAAAAATGTCTGCAGAGACTACCCAAAGAACTTTCAGCCTGTTGGCCTAATGCTCAAAAGAAACCTTGAATCTCTCAAAATAGTTAAGCTCATCTTCATGACTGGTTCAGGGGACCTTCATGAGAAGAACAAAACTAGCAGCAAAGCCCAGAGCAAAGCACTTCACCAATGTCTGCTGGAGCAAACCTGTTTGACTGAATTAGTTTTGAATTGGCTGATACATAACTATATATGGCAAAAATAAAAGCAAGGTATTATTTATTAATGAACATCATTTGAGTAGTCATAGTAGGAATCCTGAGAAAATCCTTTAAATACTCTCTTCCGTACTCATAGTCTCATGGGGTTAATGTAACTAATGTTCCTACATATTGTTCTTAAAATCTTTAGCAATTTTACTAAACTATATATATATATAATAGTCTCTCTACAGATATGCTTATCAGTAGATACATGATATACTATGTTACATATGTGTATATATACACACATACACTGTAGAATATACAGGAAGGGCTGGAGGATGACCAGAGCACAGCAAATTCTGTTGAATTCTGTGTAACTGAACCAACACTGGACTACACCAGCCTTGTGGAGGCTGCAGACAAAGTCCTACGGCAGAGAGGCTTTTGTTTTGGTGTGTGGAAGGTGTCAGTGATAGGTCCATTCAGTAGGTAGGTATGTGGGAATGCTAACTACACAATGTCGAGATGATGCTGCCTCAGCAGAAGCGGTGTCTCCTTGTGTGTTGGAGATGACCAGAACTCTTACATGCACTGGCATATTGTGCTGATGATATAAAATCTTTCCCTCTTTTGACATATAATCTGGAAACAGATGGTTGATTGATTGAGAGCAGGGATATTGGGTTTGAAAGGATTATAATTGACTAAGCTATATTAAGTAATCTAAAATGCTGAACTGGCTGTGGACAACTGAATGGTGTGATGTGAAGAAGATAAATGCCAAAGATAAAAGAACAAACACTAAAAGAAACTTCTAATAGAAAAAGAGGCCCTTTGCAGATTGCTTTTGCCAATAGATGTCACTGTAAATAAGGCAATGGTCACCTTCACACGACACAGCAGCCTGAATAAGACCCACGTGTCCTGAAAGCTCAGCCTGTGAAAGAAAAGTAGGCAATATAACTCACATATTAAGGATGTGCTGTTGATTGTGATTTACTCCCTTTCCTAAAAGTGATAAAAAGATTGTGAAAAAAACAAAACAAAACAACAAAACTTTCTGATGCATAACAAAATACATTCAGATTTAAAAGATCATATTTAGATGACTGTGCATTTAAATGCTGCCCTGCTTTCCATAAGCAATTGCCCCTCATATTGTTTCACACATGCCTAAAAGCCACATGCCAGAAACAACCACTATAGGAGCAAGGTAAGTTTTTCCATGTTTTCTTACAACTAAAAGTTTCCCCAGGCATTAAAAAAGAAAATCCAAATTATTTGTGTACAGGATGCCTGGACAGTGCATGGCCATGTCAGCGCTACCAACCACACTCTGTAGGTGTAGCACATTCTGGCTTAGCTGGACTTCCCTGAGCATATGGAAATGGGCAGAGCATGGGCAGCAAGATCAGACTATGCCAGTGCCTAAAGTTTTGACAACAAGCTCAGTGCAAGGGCAAATTCACACATGCAGGAAATACAAATGAGTGCAGGTAATCATCGTTAACCAGTTGGGTTTGGTTTTTTTAAAAGGGAAAAGTAAAGATTCACATGGAAAATCTGAACAGTTATTTAAACCAGTTTCTGCTTCAGTTTCCAGGATGATTCAGATGAATGGTGTTTCATTTCAGCCATGGTACAACTCTCACCTGTGAGGTTCCAGAAAGTGTTTGTCTACCTGTCTCTCTCAGTTATGAGATATCTCAGAATCACTGCTAGGACTCAAGACAGGCTTCTTGGTTCACACAAGCACACTGTAAAT